TACTATAAATACTTAAACAGCAAATCTTAGTACTTGGGGGGAAAGGGATTGTTAGTAATGGAGACTGAGAATCCCATATACCATACCATTTTCACCCATCAACCCCCCCCCCCCCCCCCCTCTTTTGGGGAATGCTTATGTTCAGCATTGGACAGTTAACAGCTAATGTAATGATGATTTTTTTTCAATTGTAATTTGTATGGAACCTTTAATGGTCGAGTCGGACTCGTACTCGGCCGGTTTTTTTATAATTCCATCTGTTATGATGAATTTTTGACATAATAACTCACTGATGTTATCGTGTTATATCGTGATAGTTATAAAGATAATGGGCGAGTTATAATAATCGTTGATTGTGTAATGGGTCAGTAGGTACACACAAGTGGAACTACGCACTAGCGTACGTGTGACACTGTAGGATTCGCGTCGAAAAAATATATGTAGTGTTGCTCTGTGTCGTATAATAATATTTTTAAACCATAGACAAACATTTTTTTTTTTATTTGACCAAGTACAGTAACAACTTGTGACTTTCAGAAAAAAAATTAGAAAATATTAAATATGAAAATGGTATTTTTAGCAGTAGTACAGTTTCTTATATTGTGGTTTATTTATTTATTTATCTAACTCTTTATTGTATTAGAAACATTAAAACATACAATGATAATTGATCAATTCAAGTGAAATATAGAACAAGAAATACAGATTAAAATATATACATAAAAATACAAATGGCGGTCTTATCGCTGGGACAATCTCTTACAGACAACCTTTGGTTAAAGGAGAACAGATAGAAGTGGGCAGGCGGCGCAAGAGTGAATTAATAATTTTTCGTGCATAAAATAGAAAAAATTATAATGCACAAAAACATCAAATACATATAATTTATTTAACTGCTTACAATAATAATATACTGTGGTTGTTAGCTTATTATTATTATTAATGACATTGCTTTTATTATTATAAATGATTATTAATTTTCTTATTATAAATTCTCTTATCTCCTAAGATACCATACCTAAATTTTTCAATAATGCAGATAAAACTTATCAATACTACATTATAACATGTTTACGTTGTTTATGAATAGTCACTTTTAATTATTTGATACAGTCTGACAACGAGATATAAAGTTTTATCATCATATTGTTTTATACAAAGCTACATATTTGAAATCTTAGATTACAAATTATATAGATTGGTAATGTAGAAGAGAGAAAACATAATATACATATATATATATATATATATATATATACCTAAAAAAACCTTTCTACCTCTCTCTCTCTCTCTCTATCTGTCTCATATACATATACATATATATATATATATATATATATATATATATATATATATATATATATATATATATATATATACACGCTGGCGTATCCCATTAGCGTGAAGGGTGATAGATGAGGATGAAGCAGGTTAGTTAGCCCATCGTGACGAATTCAACAAGCATTGTTCACGATGATTTCCAGGGGGAACCACGTGGAGGTCGACCTGATAGGGCATATTGCTAGCAATGGGGCTTCCAAACTCCATTGCTAACAATCCCTTTCCCCCCAGATAGAAATGTTAGGATATTAATTTCCACAATATAAGCTCGAAGCTGTTTTGGCGGGAGTGTGAATAAAATAAATTTTATTATTTTTGAATTTTGTTTTGTAATTATTTTTAAATAAATATAGTTAAAAATCTTTTATTCGCTGACGCGTTGCTAACCCTTACGGGCATTGTTTTTATGGATGATAATGGAATGATAACCTCGCCTGCGCTACGTTATACGCTGGCGGGGCACCAGTGAAGGATGATAGGTGATGATGAAATCAGGTCAGTTGAGAGCCATCGTGCCGAATTCAACAAGAATTAACCACGATGATGGAACCGCGTGGAGGTCGACCTGATAGATGACCTGATATATTAACAATCCTTTCACCCCCACTTACGCACTGTTTTTTTTTATGGGTGATTATGGTATGGTAACTCCGCCTGCGCTAACGGGATACGCTTGCGGAGCATCAGTGAAGGGTGACAGATGAGAATGAAAACAGGCCAGTTAGCCCATCATGATGAATTCATCAAAAATTAACCATGATAGTTTCCAGGGGGAACCGCGAGGAGGTCGACCTGGTTGGGTATATTGTTAGCAATGGGATTCTCAGTCTCCATTACTAACAATCCCTTTCCCCCCTTACTTATGACTATTAGAATTTCACTGATGACATGTGAAGTGTAATAAAACATGAATAGGATGTTTAGGGGGGAAGGGATTGTTAGTAATGGGGAGGTTAGTTCCTCTTGTTATAAATATACTCTATCAGGTTGACTAGTTCCTCCTAGAAATCATCATGACTAATTTATCGTTGAATTCGTCACGATTTTGCTAACTGACCTGCCTTTTCATCCTCACCTGTCATCCTTCACTGGTGCCTCGCCAGTGTATACCGTTAGCGCAAGCTGGGTTATTATCATCGATAAAAATATAGGATGACTCTACTAAAAATTACTTCGAAATAATATATTCGTTGTCTTATCATCAGAAAGTGATCAGTTATCAATAGAAATTAACAGTCATAATGCATTGCTAATTCAATAGTGCTGTGACTCGTGCTCCAGTGAGTTTCCTTGTGCATTATTTTATTTTAACAATATATATAAATGGATATTGCGGACATTATAGAAAACGACTGGCTCAGACAGAGGGTGCGTATTAAATTTAAAATTAATATATATATATATATATATATATATATAAAATTTACCAGAGGGAGACTTTGTACAAAAGTCGATTGCTTGAGTACCTCTGTCCCATTCGTGTTTCAACCGTGAAGTAGTTGTGTTTGCATGGCTGTGTTTCGGTTTGAAGGGTGGCGATATGGCGTGAATTTACTGGGTACGGAGGAATAACACCTGAGTCGTCAGGAATGGCGACGCATGTGGGGTATCATGGGCGAAACAGTATACTCTGTTATGTCCATGGTACTGCTCATGTCTGTAGGCGACGGTTACCACTTTCCATCAGGTGGGCTGTCAGCTTGTTTGCCATTCTCAGTAGTATAAAAAAAAATTATAAAATTAATAGATATTTTATATTTATTAAATTAATAGATAAAATTTTGAAAACCTATCTATTCCTCGTCGTCTACCATTTCTTCTTTATTCGGTCGCATTTTCTTCCTTATAGAATCGTGAGTAGTATTGTATAATATAAAATCTCATCACGTCTCTTTTAAATGGCTATTTCTTTGCAATTTAGAATGGTACACAAGTTGACGACCCGCCTAATGGGAAATGGCTTGTTCATTGGCTATTTAAAACGGAATAACTGTCCACTGCTGAACTTAGCCCTCCTGAAGGTTTTGCCAGTAGTTGCCACGCTTGGCAGGTGGATTAGCAACCACAGTTAGACTTTGATGACGTTTTAAGAGGGACGCTGCAGCCCATCCCACCACCATATTAAATCGTTACTTACTTAAATACTAATATTATCCATTGTGACTAATAAAGCATTGAAATTCTGTCTGATCTAACTAGTATAAATTTTTTTTAATGAATGATAATGGAATAGTAACCCCACCCGCGCTATCGGTATACACCGGCGGGGCACCAGTGAAGGATGATAGGTGAGGATGAAGCAGGTCAGTTAGCCTATCGTGACGAATCCAACGAGAATTGTTCACGATGGTTTCCAGGGGGGAACCACGTGGAGGTCGACCTAATAAGGCATATTGCTAGCAATAGGGCTGTCAAAGTCCATTGCTAACAATCCCTTTCCCCCCAGTATACAATGATTTTAAAATAAAAATCATCGACGACCAGTCCGTATACGACCTCCAACCAATTAAATAAATACAATCGACCTTTGAAATGAATGTTTGTGTAAAACTAGTACAACAAATTGAGTAAATACAGGCAACACAGCGATCGATCAACGTCGCATTGATGGCGGATATGTGGATGCTTGCGTGTGTGTGTTTTGAACTAGCTGTAACTTGCGGCTTTGCCTCCTCGTATAGTAAAAAGTTAACGATGGCTGTTTTAAAAATTTACCATAAAATGTATACGTTCGATACAGTCATCATTATATCAGCCATTGTCTGTCGACTGCTGAACAAAGGCCATCCCCATAGACCGCCACCTGCATCCACTGACTCCCTGTAATGCCTTCGAGGTCGTCCCTCTATCTAGTGGAGGGTCGCTCTGTATTTTTTTTTTGATGGGTGAAACCCCGCCTGCTGTAATGCGATACGCTGGCGGAGCACCAGTGAAGGGTGATAGATGAGAATGAAAACAGGTCAGTTAGCCCATCATGATGAATTCATTAGGAATTAATCGTGATAGTTTCCAGGAACAATCGCGAGGAGGTCGACCTGGTTGGGTATATTGCTAGCAATAGGATTCTCAGCCTCCATTACTAACAATCCCTTTTCCCCCGGTCGCTCTGTATTGGAACGCTACTCAAGAACCCTGAACTCTTCTTCTCCAACATTTGTCGGTTTTTCGAGCTCTTTGACCAGCTCATTGTCACTTCAGCTTGCTTATCCTCTGGGTTTTGTTGGTCACTTTGGTTCTTCTACGGATATCCTCATTTTGGATTCTACCACACAGAGAAACTACGCGGTTACCCGTGTGCAATATTTTAAATTACTCAGCGAGCTATGGAGAGGGGACGATACAATAGGAGAGCAGAATGTATGTAAACATTATGGAGATGGGAGACACAGAAATGTCAGGGCAAGGAAGCATAATACCTCAGTCTCCAAGAATGAGAACACATGGGCATCGCAATGTATTCTATGATCTCTGTGGTATTTTACAGTTCAGTACATGCCTGTTTGTTTACCATTCTATGTGCTTTAAAAAAGTTATTTAGTTAGCATAGCGTCCGTTCTCGAGTATGATGCAAGAGTCAGTTATTACGGTCAACCATATTTAAACCCCCAAATCTATATTTAAGTATTCCAATTTAATGAGATCATTTATTTTCTCACCAGATCCGCAGCCATCAGCGCACCCCATCAGGGTCGCGGGACTTCAAGGAGGCGACCAAGCGTGATGCTCTCGCCAGGGTGGCTGTGGAGCTGGAGAGATTGGTCAGCACCATCCCAGAGAATAGGCGGCCCCTCGTCGAGAAGGAGTTCGCCGGCTTCAAGAATCTTTTCAGCAGATTTTTGGCTGAACGTAAGTTTGCAATTTTAAAACTTTTTATCTGAAATGTTGTATTTTCAGAGTGGCTCCAGAGAAATTTTATCAAAATCGGTTCAGTGGTTTAGTTTTTAAATCAAAATAAACTGGTTTGGCCACAATTAAAGTCGGTTTTTTTATGCGAAACACAATCTTTAATTATAGAATAACGCTATTCTTCTAGTTCTTCGTGTGATATTTGTATAAAAACTGAAATTACCTATGGAATGATAAAAGAGATGATGATTAACAGTTCTGTTCGCATGGTTGTGATGAAGTTGAAAGGGCGGGTCCATACTATATTGGTAGTGAAATTTCGGAAGGCACGGAAGCATAAAGCCTTACTTCTCAGGATTGGCAACGCATGGAGGTAATATGAACACTACTTGCCTCTGGTGTTGTGGGTGATCATGGGCATAGTTTGTCCTCATCAGGTGAGCCGTATGCTCGTTTGTCCCCTGTGTTATAAAAAAAAAAAAAAAAACTATATTTTACGATGTTAATAGTGCAGTTTATATTTATACACTACGATGAGTGGTTAGCTTACTTTCCTGACAATTATAGACACTGTTTATAGGCGACGGTTACCTTTTTCCATCAGGTGAGCCGTCAGCTTGTTTGCTATTCTAAGTATCATAAAAAATAAAGTAATGCAAAAAGTTACTTGCAAGGTTTAACCCAAAGTAATTAAATCTATTTATTTGATGATATCAGCTGCAGCAGGCCTTTGTCCATTGCTGAAAAAAGGCCTTTCCTTTGGGTGGTTTTGCCAGTAGTTGTCACGTTTGATAGGCGGATTGGCAACTGCATTTAGGCCTTGGTGATACTTTAAAAGGAATCCTGCTGCTCATTCCTCAACTATTAAGTTCCCTTAGAAAGGAAAGGATGGCGTATTTTATCCTAGGACCACACTGCCGTTTATTTATTTACTGTCTTTTAACTACAGAGGGTCCATCAGTAACATGGGAGAAGATCGAGAAGCTTCCAGAAGGCGCTGTCATAGACTACAACACGCTGGAGACACCGACCACAGACAACGTGCACCACATGCTGGACAAGCTGGTGGTGGTGAAATTGAACGGTGGACTCGGCACCTCTATGGGTTGCAAGGGCCCCAAGTCGGTGATACAAGTGAGGAATGAGCTCACGTTTTTGGATCTGACTGTGCAGCAGATAGAGGTGAGGAGTTTATCTTCACTATGAGTTTATTATCATGACCAGGCACGAGAGAATTCAATGGAGAAGTAAAGTGGTTAATATAGTTCTCAAAGTTTCAGACTGTATAAAATTATATTATCGAGCACCTAATTCATGCCTCCTTATGGGGGCGGAGGGGGGGAGATATTTTTTATATTTAATGCTAGTAATACGGACTACCAGTCCCATTGCTAGCAATATATTGTCAGGTCAGCCTCCTTCGTTTCCCCCTGGAAACCTTCGTGCAGAATACCCCATGTATTCATCACGATAGGCTAACTGACCTGCCTTTTCATTCTCACCTCTCATCCCTCACTGGTGTCCCGCCAGTGTATACCGTTAGCGCAGGCGGGGTTACCATTCCCTTATTATTCTTTAAACAAAAGACAGATGCCATGTATATAGTTCTTTGGCTTTTCGTTCATTTGCACCGAGGGATTGCAAAACACATGCAGGAAAACGTGTGCCTTTGAGACGTGATATGAAGTCTTATAATGATTATTTTAATGATTTAGATTTATTTGCACTGTCAGCAGTTTCTTATAAAAAGAAAATAATGAATTGCTGGTATAATGTATGTCCTGTACAAAGGCGAGCTTATCTTAAGCTTAAGAGATATCATCCAGTAAACCTAGTCCCGTGAAAGGCACAGTTAATATTTTTCTAAGCCTATTGTCGTGAGGATAGGTTCCTATTTAATTTTTCCCTCCACCATTGCAGCACCTGAATAAAACGTACAAGTGCAACGTGCCACTAGTGCTGATGAACTCGTTCAACACGGACGACGACACGCAGAAGGTGATCCGCAAGTACCGCGGACTCAAGCTCGAGATACACACATTTAACCAGTCGTGCCATCCGCGCATCAACCGCGAGTCGCTGCTGCCCATCGCCAAGACCGGCGACGTGCACTCCGACATTGAGGCGTGAGTGCCACTATACCGTCTATTTTTTTTACATATTCTTTATTGTACCCAAAAGTTTACAAACATATAATATATATAAAATAAAAATGTACAACAGGCGGGCTTAACTCTGTAAGAGTTCTCTTCCAGCAAACCCTGAGTTGAAAGGAGCATTAATTATCTATATTTGATATTATAAAGAGATTAATTTAGAAATTAGACAGCGATTTTAAAAATTGTTTCACCTATAGGAAGCTCTACGTTATCATTGAGTTACATATGGACTACTTCTTTTTTATTAGAGATGTTTATTATTATATTATTCATATTATCAGTATTTCTAAACCGATACGACATCATAACCTTCAAGAAAAGAGAATATTCCTTTTTAAAAGGCCGGCAGCACACCTGCAATGCCGTTAGTGTTGTGGGTGATCATGGGCGGCGGTAGTCACTTACCATCAGGTGAGCCGTATGCTCGTTTGCCCCCTGTGTTGTAAAAAAAAAGATCCTCTCGTTAATAATAATAGTGTAACCCAAGGTATAAAAAATTTGCTTATTAAAGCTAGTATGAAATATTACTTTATCTATCTACCCGTGTCAAAACCGGGGTGTAAAATCTGTCATAGATTAAAAGAACTTATAATTTGTACAATGAAATGATGCGGGTACCGAAAGAGAACAAGGTTGATTTATTATATTCAAACAGATAATGTACTTTACTGTATATCTGAGAGGAGTTAAGAATCTCCGGAACCGAAGGAGATATGAAAGAATGTATTGTTACCATCGCCCAAGTGTTCTTGGACAACGGTAACTGCTTCCCATCAGGTGAACCGTCTGCTCGTTTGTTTCCCTAGCAATAAAAAAATTAGAAGTCTTTAGTACTCCCCTCTAGCTACCCATAAAAGAACCTAATGTGAAGATAGATTATAATTTATTATTATTACCTTGTAGGTGGTATCCACCAGGTCACGGAGACTTCTACGAATCCTTCTACAACTCTGGCCTCCTGCAGAAATTCATCAAAGAAGGTCGCACATATTGCTTCATCAGTAACATAGACAACCTCGGAGCTACTGTCGATCTGAACATACTAAATCTACTTCTCAACCCTGAGCCCCAGCGTTCCACGTCAGAATTCGTGATGGAAGTCACAGATAAGACGAGAGCTGACGTCAAAGGAGGCACGTTGATCCAATATGAGGACAAACTCCGCCTCCTCGAGATAGCCCAAGTACCTAAAGAGCATGTAGATGATTTCAAGTCAGTGAGCCAGTTTAAATTCTTCAATACCAACAACTTATGGGCAAAACTTGACGCTATCCAGCGGGTAGTCGAGCAAGGCTCCCTAAACATGGAGATCATAGTGAACAACAAACATTTAGGCGATGGACTGAACGTAATTCAACTAGAAACTGCTGTGGGTGCTGCCATGAAGTGCTTCGAAGGTGGTATAGGAGTTAACGTGCCCAGGAGCAGGTTTTTGCCCGTCAAGAAGACGTCAGACCTGCTTCTCGTCATGTCGAACCTGTACAGCTTATCTCATGGCTCGTTGGTCATGTCTCCGCAGAGGATGTTCCCCTCGACACCACTCGTGAAGCTCGGAGACAATCACTTTGCGAAAGTAAAGGAATTCCTGAACAGGTTCGCAGCGATACCTGACCTCATAGAGTTGGATCATTTAACAGTGTCCGGAGATGTTACATTCGGTAGAGGAGTGTCCTTGAAGGTGAGTTGTTAATTTTATGTTATGTTTGTCTATGCATTAGTCTGATCCTTCTAAACAACTTGCGTATGACCCTGTCGTTAGATACGTTTTTATTATTTCCTCTTTCTCACAGTTCTTTAATTTGATATCCATTATTGTTATTAAACCAGTTGAGTAATAGTTTAGACTGATCGCTGCTGTTCAATTTCATCACCTAATGACCCGCCATAAACTAAAGTTTCATTTCCAACATCTGGATGTGTGGCGTTGTTCTACATAAAAACTGTTCCAAATAAAAACTGTAAATCATATGGCTGCCTTATTTCTTCTTATCCAAAGATAATTAATGAAAAGAAGACGAAAGATACACCATCAGTTGCTATTTTTACTCAATTCATAGCAGGCTAGTGTATAGAAAATGTTTGATATGTAAATTATTTGTCAATGACAAATTTTACATTTGTATTTGAATTTGGTAGGATTATACGGCCGTATAACATTTTCAATACACTAGCCTGCTATGAATTGACAATTTTATCACTCCTATGTATTTCCTTGTTCTTTGGTTCCACCACAACCACACTTTTAAATCAACTGCTGGCAGCAGTATTTCCAAACCGATTCAATATCGTAACTTATAGTCAGTTTTAACTTATTATCAGTCAGCGGCGGTAGTCTTTTAACATCTCATCTGATGATTGCATGCTCGTTTGCCCCCTGTGTTATGAAAATATGTAAGAACAAGACGCCGAAGCTTGCTGTCTCGTTCTATCTCTAATAGCATGGACATTAGATAATGTACTGTGTATATACTGGCATGTCTATTATGGGATTTTATCTTTTAATTTATAATTAATTTTTTTCCGAAATAACATAGTAAATTATTTATTCGAATTTTGATTGAGTCTTTAGTATATCTAGATGACCATGCTAGTATCATAGACAATATCTGATTGTAATTTTATTAAATTACTTTATCAGAGATACCTATACAAAAAAAATTTCGAGCATTTGTAACATTGGAAAACGTATTTTATTTGCAGGGCACAGTGATCATAATAGCGAACCACGGGGACCGAATAGACATACCGTCAGGGGCTCTACTTGAAAACAAAATTGTATCTGGCAATCTACGCATTCTCGATCATTAGATTTGGAAGAAACATTGTCTGTGTATGAAGTAGACATTTGCACAAAAAAAAAAAGTTGAAACAAATCACAAGAACAGTTCCTATCTAATTAAATTATAGGTACTAAAATAAAATGTACATGTTTACATTTTTTTTTTATTTAAAAAAGATACAAATATTAAAATGTTTTTTAAATGCAACTAGATTTAAAAATAAGGTAACACAATGAGATTTATCATAATATTTTTTATGTTCTCCTGAATTAAAAAAAAAAAGTGCTTCGTGGAATTTTTATAATGTACAAAAAAATCGTAGGCATTATGGAACATTTTGAAATAGTTTACCAAAAATATAGGTATTTAATATAATTACCATTTTTCAATGAAATATAAGTTTACACCTCTTATCTAGTAAGCTTTTTTTTTTATTTATGGCAACACTGAATTGAAATGGCGCGAAAACAAAATAAGATCTTAAAGCCACTTAAAATGTTTACTCATTATGATTTATATACCAATTTATCGATAATTGCTGATATACATAAATTAAATTCGTTTCATAATTAACAAGAAAATGGTATCAATTAAAGTAAAACGTTATATTGTTTTCCGTGTTGACGTTTTATACGTTACGGCCATCTTATCTTAATATTGTTACATTCGAATTTATCAACAGTAAGTAGAGTATTGTGATTAAATATGTGCTAAATTGATAAAAACTTAATAAATAATGTTGTAGAAACAAAATCTTATTAAGAATTTAGCTCTAAAGAGATTAACGTTTAAAAGTTCTATAATTAAAATAGGTTAGGTTAGTTTTTTTTTTTTTTATGAATAAGAGACTGCATGTTTCGGCTAAGTGTTTGTAAAATTCATTGGTAGCTGGACATCGTAACTTTTAATTAAAAATGAGGCGATGCGTTTGATAATTTACAAATGTTTTTTGGTAAATTATGTACTTAAATAAGTACACAAACTTTATCATGTGTTATTTATTGTAAAATAAAATTAATTATCGTAAGCAGTATCAACTGGGGATATTATTTTAACTTAATTTTTTAGTAATATAAATAAAGGAAACAAATTATTTCCAAAAGTTTTGAACTATATAAAATATTTATTATAATATTAACTTTATTATATTAAGTATGTTTATTATTCCAAGCAAAATTTTAGTGAGATGTCCTACCATAATATAAAACTTAGTATCCCATTTCAAATAGTATATATATATATATATATATATATATATATATATTCGATTGTTTTATTTTTTTTTTATATAGACCTATATGTTCAATTTATATTTTTAATAATAGGCAAGATTAAAATTGTATTAAAATTTATATAGTATAAAAATTTTTTTGTTACTAATGGATTGGTCACAGATATTACTCGTATGTTAAAAATATGCAATATGGCAGCTTAAGATAATATGCTTATATTTTTATATATGATTGATTATGGGCAATTTATTGATTTACTAAAAGTAAATGTAGTGGAAGGCAAGATGCTGTGACAAAGCACTGTACACTGTATATAAGTTATATATATAATTATAAATAGATAAGCATTTATCTTAAAATGCAATATATTCTTTTAATAATTTGTCACTGTACTTAATATCTGTGAATTCCGTTATGTTTTGGCCAAAGCTATTTTGTTTGTTAAGTCAATACATTTTTATTTTTATAGTTTTGTGTAATTTGTAATACCTGGTTGTCTCACAATAAGTTGTTTTTATTTTATTTTTTTAATTTCTTTATGACCTTTTTTTATAATATTACATAGGTAAATTTGTAGTTAGGTGTATAGATTAAAAAAATTTGGTTTTCTTATACACGAGTACGATTTATTGTTGTAATTCAAGTATACAATCGAATTGTATCGAATAATCAGACGTAGTTTTTAGTGAGTATGGCCAACAGTACAGTGGACGCAGCTATCATAACCTGAGTACAATATTCACTGTGGATTGACATAAATTCAACACTGCATTGGCATATAATATAATAATCATTTATATTAATTAGTTTATATATATAAACATAGCTAACTAATATAAATTCATTCAACACTATGGATTAATTTAAATTGAACACTGCATTAATATTTATAATAATAAGATTAGCTTATATATAAACATAACTAATTATTGTGTATATTATATTAGTGTAAAAAAACTACTTCTAAGTCAATACTGAAATAATAAATATTTATATTAATAAGATTAGTTTATATATTAACATAACTAATTATTATAAATTATATTTATACACCAGTGTAAAGAAAGCCACTATAAGTCGATCTTAAGACCAACCATACCCAAAGTCTAACGTCTTCATTTATTGTTAGTTTTCAATATTTAAAAAATAATCATTCTGAAGATAATGATTTTCGTTTATAGGCTATGATAACCGCTTACTGTCAGGTGGGCCGTATGCTTGTTTGCCAACTCAGTGGTAAAAAAAAACATGATTATATAAAAACTGGCTCTCTCTCGTTCTAAAATGTTAATCATATAATAAATATAATAATAAAATAACGACTGTTTTCTATTTCGTTTTAAAGTTTTGATTTAATTTAGATATTTGTCTATTAAAAAAATATAAAATTTTAGTAAATTTAGGATATTTATTTTAAACTGAATAAAAATGTGTCGAATGATTAACTTTTTAGTCGAGAGCATTTTTTTAATTCTCATTTGATAATATTTAAAATGTGTCTAAATAAATTTAAAGTTAGACAGGTGTTACAGACTTGCCAGTTTTGCAGTATGATGTCTCTTATTGATTATATAAATAAATAATTCTAAAATGTACAGTGTATAATAATATTGTAGATATATAAGTTGTATGTGTATGTAGGATGGGTAGGTATTTATATGTCGTGCCATTTGCATGAATATGTAATAAAATAATTAAAAAAAAATGTAGTTTTTATAAAATCTTTAAGAAATCTATTAAGTGCCACTCAATCACACTAATAGCTTAATCTTCAAGCTGAGAGATCCTGTGTTATAGAGGGAGCCCACCCCCCCCTAAGAGATAATATTTGTAGGATTTTTTTATTGGATGAAAATGGTATGGTAACCCCGCCTGCGCTAACAGGATACGCTGGCGGAGCACCAGTGAAGGGTGATAGATGAGAATGAAAACAGGCCAGTTAGCCCATCATGATGAATTCATCTGGAATTAACCATGATAGTTTCCAGGGGGAACCGCGAGGAGGTCGACCTGATTGGGTATATTTTTTTTTATACAACTTAGAATGGCAAACAAGCTGACGGCCCACCTGATGGAAAGTGGTAACCGTATACACATGAGCAGTACCATGGACATAACAGAGTACACTGTTTCGCCCATGATACCCCCCATGCGTTGCCATTCCTGAGGACTCGGGTGTTATTCCTCTGTACCCAGTAAATTCACTGTCATATCCCACCCTTCAAACCGAAACACAGTCATGCAAACACAGCTGCTTCACGGTAGAAACACGAATGGGACAGAGGTACTCAAGCAATCGACTTTTGTACAAAGTCTCCATTACTAACAATCCCTTTCCCCCCATATTTGTAGGATTGTATACCCTATCAGGTCGACAACAATCGGAAGTGTTCAATCGAATTCAATTGGAGGTGTTCTTACGTCTTTATGCTGCATGATGATATTACAATGATAAAAATTGACATTATTATCATAATCATCATGTCAGCCTTTAACTGTCCACTGCTGAACTCCCCCTTGGGGGGTTTTGTAGTGCCACGCTTGGCAGGCGGATTGGCAACAGCAGTCAGGCTTAAGAGATGTTTAAGAGGGACGCTGCTTCCCGTCCCTCGCCCTCCCTTAGTTGCCTCTTATGACACCCACGGGAAAGGAAGGGATGGCATATTCTATGCCGGGACCACACGGCTAATTATTTATTATTATATCATCCGTTAATTGTCCACTGCTGAACATAGGCCGTATGGGGAGAAGGGATTGTTAGTAATGTGGTCTAATGGTCTCATTACTAGCAAGCCCTGTCAGGTCGACCTCCACGCGATTCTCCCTGGAAACCATTGTGATTAATACTTCTTGCATTCAATACGATGAGCTAACTGACCTGCTTTCATCCTCACCTATCATCTCTCACAGGTGATAGCGATAGCGCAGGCGGGTTCACCATTTCATTATCATCCATTAAAAAAAAACATAGGCCGTATTCATTCTGGGGAGGGGGGGATTGCCAGTAGTTGCCACACTTGGTAGGCGGGTTAGCAACCAGCTTAGGCTTCGGTGGCATTTTAAGAGGGACGCTGCTGCCCTCTTAAAGCTGAGGGGTGGCCTATTCAATGCCGGCACCACACGATATGACAGTAAAATTTGAAATGGGAATCTCTATGGACGTGATCTTTACCGATGGAACTGATGATTTTATCGATAGAATAAAAAATTGATTAATAAATTAATATTTATTTACAAAACACTTAAATTATGTATGTTGCAGTCAAAACTCTTAACCAGTCAAAAGTAGTATTGACTAGCGAAATCAGTCAAAAGTACTTTTGACCGTATGCTTTAGTCGATAACACTTTTAACTAAAATAACCTAACCTAAACTAGCAAAGTACTTTTGTAAAAGTTCTTACCCCCCTTTTGAAGAACCCCATGCTGTAGTCTCTTGGGAAAACCTCGGCAGGGAGCTCATTCCATAACCTTAGTATTCGTGGGAGGAAACATCTCTGAAACCGCGTTGTAAGCGACCATTTGGGCTGTAGGGTATGAGGGTGAACTCCCTGTCGATGGCGAGCCGTACGATGGTAGAATGTGGCCGCAGGCATCATACTGAACAATTCCTCTGAGTACAATCAGAAATTATTGAACTGATTTTAATAAAATTTCTGTGGGACCAATATGTAAGTATATTCTTTCATTTAAAAAAAAAAAGAATTTTCCAAATCGGTTTACAACTAACGGAGTTATGAGGTAATAAACATAAAAAAACCGAATTGAGAACCTCCTTTTTAAAGTCAGTTGAAAATATTAACGCCACTTGACTCGAGTTTTGTATTTTAAATTATTCTTTCTCCGCTATAATGGAGTACCCACTACTCGTTGGTAATGTTTTTGGAACATTTGCTAGCAATTAAACTAACTGCGCCCGAGAGGAGGGCCAGCATAGCGCTGGTGGCCGGCATCCATTGCATGCTGGTGTTGTGGAACAAACAGGCACCCTCGTTGCTGTACGCGCAAGTTACATCTGAAATATATTTAGATAAATATTTTACTGAATTAGATGTTTTCTTGCGGATGTCTATATCACTGGTTAGCTGATTAGAATTATTTTGCTCTTGGCCGCAACAGAATATCAGTGTTTTACTCTTTTGAGGGCAAAGCAATAGACTGAGTTGTAACCATTTTGTGTTACTATGGCACACGCATGAAGGAAGGAAGTTATTGTTTTATACATATATTTTGTCTTTTTTTTTGTTTTTTATTTTTTTTTATCTCTTACTGTGTGTCTGTATTATGTGTATGTTTGTATTATTATAAGTAATGCGAATAAATTATCTATCTATCTATCATTTTGTATAATTCCGTTACCATTGGTATGTGTAAATTTTTTTTAATATATGTATTTTTTTTATACAATTTAAATGGGATACAAATAATACCTGTAGAAGTATTTCGCGGCTTACAATTAAAATTAGGGTTACTCGTATAAGAAGTGAGGGTAGCAACGCGCTCTGGTGTTAAGAATTGTTAGACAGCCTCCATGCTAAGACCTCGGTAATGGTTTATAGGAGGAGGCTTTAAGTCATTAGGTCTTAAAAAATCCAACAATTAGACCCAATAGTTTCATGCTTCGTAAGGCAAGTCAGAGGCTTTCACGTACGAGGAAGTTCGCCTAGAATGTACTAGAAACTTTTGACATCAGATTGTGTGATCCTCACGTGAGTAGCAGAGTTATCATCATCATACCAGCCTTTAACTGTCCACTGTTGAACAAAAGCCTCCCCCTTGGGGGATTTTGCCAGTAGTTGCCACGTTTGGCAGGCGGATTGTCAACCGCAGTCAGGTATTAGAAATGTTTTAAGAGGGACGCTGCTGCTCATCCTTCGCCTTCCCTTAGTCGACTTTTACGACACCCACGGGAAAGGAAGGGGTGGCCTATTTTATGCCGGGACCACATGGCCAATAACATTATAAAATTAATATATAATAATAAAATTAATAATTCCAATCATTTTGTCGGTGAACGGTCTTATCCCAACCAGTCTAGAACAACATCTCAGACGGTTGGGATTCCGAGGCGGTTCACTCCCGGGAAAGATGCAGAAAGCGGTGCTCTTAGATACTGCCCGCATTGTACGCCGGTTTCTCTCGCTGGGGCCCTGAACCCCGGCCGACTGTGATTCTACCGGGGGTTAGTTTGCCATCTCCTCTTCTTAAGAAAGGAGATGTGATTTTTTGTAAAAATTAATAAAAGTAGCAATAGTAGGAACGAATTATAAACGAAGATAGAATCGGCCCATCGGAAATTAACCATGATGGTTTGATGAGCAACGAGTAGAGATCCATTTGACAGGAATACTCGTAAGTACGAGTAGCTTAGGTACATGTACGAGATGACAAGATGATCAAGTCTGGGGGGGAAAGGGATTGTTAGTAATGGAGACTGAGAATCCTGGAAACTATCATGGTTAATTCCTGATGAATTCATCGTGACGGACTAACTGGCCTGTTTTCATTCTCATCTATCACCCTTCACTGGTGCTCCGCCAGCGTATCCCGTTAGCGCAGGCGGGGTTACCATTCCATTTTCACCCATAAAAAAAAAAGATGATCAACTCTAGATGATTTTGTTTGAAATATAAATTACTCACGAATATCAAACTATAAATTCTATATTATGTATTTATTTTATATATTTATAGGAAATATATATTTAATATTTTTGTATTGATATTTATTACTATCTAATATTGTGTTGTCTATTTAAATTTTATACCAAAAAGTCCAAAGCTAGACCAGTGGTTTAGATATAATTTCTAGTCTCCTCTACCCCAGTCGAGCCTCTTAATACATGACTCTGGCAGAAATGGTTGTAAAAATAGCGATCGATTGCCATTAACGAAAAGAAGAAGAAGAAACCACTCACGGCCGATGAGCATGTAGAGCAGGCGTCCAAACAGATGCGCGGGCAGCGCAACGGCCGCCAGCGAAGCACCCACCGCTAGAGGGCGCGCCGAGCGTTTCGTCGTCCGCAACGGCACCATGCCTTGCATTAGCGCTGATGCACCTGTCGCCCCGCACACCAACACACAACTGCGCTTTAAATATTTCTAACAGTGGATTTTGTTACATAGATTTCAGAAACACATTTGTGAGAATATCGCATCCAAATTGGTGTAGTAGTTTTTGTGTGATACTATGTACAGATAGACAAAATTTCCAATATTGTTTATTTGTCTGTTTGCTTTGGTTATTGCTTTGGCATCTATTTGTAAGTCTTATTAAGACCTCTTGTATTTATTTTTCTTTAATATCCCTCACTAGCGGCCCGTCCGGGCTTCGCACAGTTCACTTCAATGGCTATCATGTTTTGTTCCTTGAACAATGTTCCACGCTGAGCTTCGACCTTTTTGTATTGCTGCAGATCACACATAATAACACAATTTTATAAATCTTATGTTGTTTTATGTATTATCTATTGTTATGAACATGTTGTGTGTGATTAGTAACAAATAAATAAACGATATATTTATCTATCTATCTATCACTTTTATGGGTGAACGGTACTAACCGGTGACGGCCAATGTAACAGTGAAGATGACCTGGTACACGGAGAACATGGCCTGGCAGGAGATGAGCGAGCAAGAGCCCATCACAGCGTTGTCTGAGGCACTGTTACTACACGAGCAGTTGTGGTACGTACTGTGACAGGAATAATGAATAGGAGACCTCAATAAAAAGAGAACACATTTTTTGGCTGGTTACTTTATTATATTATGGTTAATGAAGTATTTAAATTAACTTATTCTTCTATGGAAAATGGTACTCTATATCATAAAGAGATAAAAACATCGCTGCTAAGAACATTTTAAAGTTAGTAAAGAACTTTTTTTTTTTATACAACTTTGAATGGCAAACAAGCTGACGGCCCACCTGATGGAAAGTGGTAACCGTTGCCTATAGACATGAGCAGTACCATGGACATAACAGAGTATACTGTTTCGCCCATGATACCCCCCATGCGTTGTCATTCCTGAGGACTCAGGTGTTATTCCTCTGTACCCAGTAAATTCACGCCATATCCCACCCTTCAAACCGAAACACAGCCATGCAAACACAACTGCTTCACGGTTGAAACACGAATGAGACAGAGGTACCCAAGCAATCGACTTTTGTACAAAGTCTCCCTCTGGTAATAATGTAACTTTAATAAAGGGCGGCATAGATCACAGAGATAGAGAGAGAGAAGAGATAAAACCCAATAATAATATAATATAGTTATTTCCCAGAGAGGGTCTGGCTCCTTAAAAAGACGAATATGTTTTCTTAAATATGTACATTGTTTAATGCTGAAAGTTCCACTACTGTTTCTGAGATGGGCACACAATTGCGAGGCGGGCACAGCACTAAATACGCCTATGATTTTCTTACATATATTTATAGCTACAAATAAAATATTTGGTAAGCACGACTAGTTCTGCTAAGAGATATGGCATCTTGCATAGTTCTGTTCTCCTGGTATTTTCAACTTAACTCTAGACGACAATAATTTTGCACGTTTAATACTCAAGTTACTGTGTATCTATGTAACCAAATTAGATTTATAAAATTAGGTAAGTATTATTGTTTACATCACTGGTTATTTTATTAAAATTATTTTGTTTAATTCCGCTACCAATTAGTTCCGCATTCGGACTGCTAAACAAACAAAACTGGTAATACTAGGTGCGATCTATTAATTTGCCTGAAGACGCCTGGTTTAGGAGTAAAACATGTGTCGTAAACGTGCATGGACGAAATGGCAGTCGGAGATTGATGGCTAATATGGAAGTTTGTAGAACTTCTGGCAATAGTAACAGTAGTCAAACATCGAGTGTTGGCAGTCGTACACAGATTGATGGTGGCGGAATTAAACAAAATAACTCTAATCAAATAACCAGTGATATGGAATACTGCAAAATAACAACTAGTTCAGTAAATTACGGTTCGTATACCATAGATTTAAAAATTCTTAAAATATTTTTCCTTCTTTTTATATTACACCGTGACTCGACACATTTATTTACAATTTACTTTGATACTATATTTAAAATATATAAAAAACTGTTGACGGAATACAGAGATCTGACAAACAAAAAATTTAATGAAAAATTTTACAGCTGACATACTGAGAAATGTTTTTATTCACTTGAAGACTATTTTAATGTAAAAATTTAAAAGACACGTTCCAAATTAAATATTTGCACGCCACACGGGTAAATGTAGAGATTCCGTTTTTAACAATGAATATTTTTAATGTAATAACCTGTCAATCAAATGAAGTTATCTTTCATTCGTACTACATACATTTTAACTCACATCAGTCCACCGATCTCGCCCGCGGCACTGCAGCCAGCGTGGCACGGCGAGAAGAACGTGTTTGTTCCGTCCACACACAACGGCGTATATCCGTACACCTCGGAATTGCAACTGGAATATAGAATTTTACTTTATGAATAGAAAATATAAAATAATCGCAGTGTCACTATATAATCACAATGGGCCACTCCTTCCTTTCCTTTCGATGTCGTAAGAGACGATTAAGAGAGCTTATGGTAGAGGGATGGGCTACAGTGTCCTTCTTAAAACATCTGTAAAAAAATATAATGGTAATCCCATCTACACTGTTGGTATACGCAGGCGGGGCACCAGTGTTAGTGACTACCGCCGCCCATGATCACCCACAACACCAACAGCTTTGCTGGTGTGCTGCCAGCCTTTTAAAAAGGAATTATGCTCTTTTCTTGAAAGTTATAATGTCGTATCGGAAATACTGCTTCTGGAAGTTGATTCCAAAGTGTGGTTGTACGTGGGAGAAGTGCCTTTAAAAACGCACGGTAGAGGTAATATTAGAATAAATATAAAAGTATCTGTAAAAAACAATGTTCTCGCAAATAAAGAAATCTAATCTAATCTTTGCTTACTTGCATTGTTGACTGCAACTCGGCTGCGTATACTCATTGTTCTCAATACCAGCTAGGTCCTCCACTCCGCAACTAAGCAACGACAGTACCACAAAGAAGATGGCTGCGAAAAACGCCACAATTCCACCGACACGAGCCGCCGTGTTGGCTTTCACGCCGTCCTGCCTCCGGACCGAGAAACGGACGCGAAATATCTATGGAGGACAGAAGTAACCTAATGTAAAAGACATTTTTATCAGCCTTTTATTGTCTGCTTCTGAACATAAGCTTCCCTTTATTGGGGCCTTTTGGCAGTAGTAGTTATACTTGGTAGGCGGATTGGTAACCGCAGTTAGGCTTTGGTTATGTGTTAAGAAGGACGCTACTGCTCGTACCTGGATCATTAAGATTCCTTAGTCACCTGTCAGGATACCCACGGGAAAGGAAGGGGTGGCCCATTTTATTCCGGGACTACACAGCAACCATAACTATTATTGAACAATAATCTATATGCGAACACGTAATATTTATAATATAGATTATAAGAAACATCTCGAAATTTATGCGTGTGTGTATATATTTTTTTATACAACTTAGAATGGCAAACAAGCTGACGGCCCACCTGATGGAAAGTGGTAACCGTCGCCTATAGACATGAGCAGTACCATGAACATAACGGAGTATACTGTTTCGTCCATGATACCCCCCATGTGTTGCCATTCCTGAGGACTCAGGTGTTATTCCTCTGTACCCTGTAAATTCACGCCATATCCCACTCTTCAAATCGAAACACAGCCATACAAACACAACTGCTTCACGGTAGAAACACGAATGACACAGAGGTGCCTAAGCAAACGACTTTTGTACAGAGTTTCCCTCTGGTAAATTATTTAATTTATATTGTATTATTTGTGTTATTAATTAATTAGATTTAATTAAGTTAGTATGTTTTCGGATCAACATATACTAGTAATTATTTAAAAAAGAAGCCAATATACGAGGTCTGTCCGGAAAGTTCGTATAAAAGTGTTCTGGAATGCGAGAAAGAGGAGTGGGGAGGCCAGGTAAGCGCAGGACCCCTTCCTTATGTCCCTAACAATGCTTCAGTTCTGGTCTGACCGCCGTGCGGTGCGAACTGGCTTGTCACGCCATCTGTGAAGTTACCTCTTAACGAAACCCCGTCGGCATGGAGCCCGCTTCCGTTGAAGAGCAGCGCGTCGTAATCAAGTTTCTCTCGAAACTCGGCAAGAATGGCCGTGAATTTGATGTCGAATTAAAATCCCAAAGCAAAGAGTGGAAGACATCCGGGGAACCACGAACAAAAAAATCAAGAAAATCCCGCTCAAATGTCAAGACAATGTTGATTGTTTTTTTCGATGTTCGGGGGATTGTCCATCAAGAATTCGTCCCTCCAGGCCAGACAGTTGATGGAAAATTCTACGTCGATGTGCTCAGACGCCTCAAAGCTCGTGTGGCACGAGTTCGTCCAGAATTGGCGCGAGAGGGGCGTTGGATTCTTCACCACGACAATGCCCCTGCCCACACCTCTCTTGTTGTCCGTGAGTTTTTGAGTAAAAATTCCATTACGGTGACCGAACACCCCCCTATTCGCCGGATTTGGCCCCGTGTGACTTCTTCTTGTTCCCAAAAACCAAATTGGTACTTCGGGGGCGGCATTTGGGGGACATAAATGAGATAAAAAAAGCTACGACGGGGCAGCTGAGAAACCTACAACCAGAGGACTTTCAAGGAGCCTTCTCACAGTGGAAACGGCGTTGGCACAAGTGCATTATGTCACAGGGGGAGTACTTTGAAGGGGATAAAATTGATTTACCTGAATAATTGTAAAATAAAATTTTTAAAAAACTTTTATACGTACTTTCCGGACAAACCTCGTATTTATACGTACCATAATGAAAAATATGACAACCAGAGGTCTGAAGAGGCTGCCGATAAGCCGGGACGTACGGGGGTCCTGTCGGAGGGTCTCCACGTGAAATCTAGCCTGCAATTGGCAATATTAAACTAAGATTTACTACAGAAATTGGTTAGATGATTGTATTTACGTTTGCTAACTAAAACTTTAAATGGAGAAGTACAAGGGGGAAAAGTAATTGTTTGCAATGGAGTTTGACAGCCCCATTGCTAGCAATATGCCCTATTAGGTCGACCTCCACGTGGTTCCCCCTGGAAACCATCGTGAACAATTCTTGTTGAATTCGTCACGATGGGCTAACTGACCTACTTCATCCTCATTTATCATCCATCACTGGTACCTCGCTAGTGTATACCGATAGCACAGGCGAGGTAACCATTCCAATATCACCCATTAAAAAAAAAATGGAGAAGTATAACTTTTACTTTAAAAGACAAAAAAGTTCACATATTATTAACGATTCACTGTTGATTTTTTGTTGTGTGATCATCTTGTCCAATAATTATGAGGAACTACTTATGTGGACAGAAACAGCTGTCACAGAGCATCCTTAACTGTGGGATATTAATGTACCATTATAGTTTGATGAAATTAATTGGGGGGGGGGGGGGGGGGGATTGTTAGTAATGCGAACTATCAGTCCGTTGCTAACAATATACTCTGTCAGATGGACTTCCACGTGGTCCCATAGTGCTGAATTCCAGGTGTATTCATCACGATGGGCTAACTGACCTGCCTTTTCATTCTCACTTATCATTCCTCAATGGTGTCCCGCCAGCGCATACGGGTGCATATACGCAGGCAGGGTTACCACTTCATTATCATCAATTAAAAGAACAGACTTCCGTAATGTAGAGGGAGACACGTTACGTTGCGTAATCAAGTCCCAGGTTCGATTCCCTGTCGGGTTAATTTAGGAAACGAATATTTCTGATTATTTATTTATTTATTATTGCATTCCATAATAATTAATTAATACATAATTAGTACATAAGGTTTCAATTTTGGACCCTGTTGGGCACAGCAAGTAGGAGAGAGGAGGAGGTTAGACTAGGCTCGGGTCTGAGAATTCTGGATTGTGATGCCAGGTGTTCGTCGACCAGTTTCTCATAAGACAGAGTAACCTAGCTTAAGAATTAGGCGATTGGTGTGATTATGTAGCACTTATCATTATTATTAATAGACATGGGGTATTATAGTATTATATTATCTGTGACATGGGTATTGTGGATACCGATCCGATATCTATATATTGGGTTTCTCTGGACATTGATTGCGGTAAAAAGGTCATCGCCCATTTCGATATCGCTCGTATCGGTCGGATATCTATTTTTGAATATGTTAAAAGTCTGTTATACAATATTCTTTTTTGAATAATAAAATCTTAACATATTCGTTATTGGGCCAGTATATAGATGTTGTAACTAAAATATACAGTAGTATATATATATATATATATATATATATATATATATATATATATATATATATATATATATATATATATATATATTACCCACCCCTAATTATTAATAATAATAAAATAATAATAAATAGATTTATTTCTCTTCACAATTTATTACAGTGAAATATAATATTATATTAATCCAATTATAAATATAATTGTGAGAGACCGATGCCTGAGATAGGTATAAGAGTACGTAATACATCGTCACTTACTTGTATGTAGGATGCGTCGTAGCGAACAAATTCGAACAGAGCGAGGTTGAGCAAAGCAAACGATATGATATGCATAACGATTGCTTTGTTGTGAAATATTTCGCGTAAGGATACAAAAAATCCTGCAAACAAAAATGACAATATCAAACAACTTGTTCGAGTTTCATATAACGGCAACACTAAGAGTCGTCGGGCGGTCTCGAATTAGGTCGGCTCTGTTCGCCACTTCGTGTCACGCCACCGTATTACATTTATTATTATTTTTATTTAATTTATTATACGCGTATTTTTATTTAATTGGGTTTAGAGGAATAACACCTGAGTCCTCTGAAATGGCAACGCATGGGGAGTATCATGGGCGAAACAGTATACTCTGTTATGTCCATGGCACTGCTCATGTCTATAGGCGACGGTTACCACTTTCCATCAGGTGGGCCGTCAGCTTGTTTGCCCTTCTATGTTGTATAAAAAAATCTGTAATATTACTTAAAAACCTTCATATCCAACTTATAACTTGTGATTATAAAGAATATTCCCTCACCATCATCCATATCGTTTTTAGGTGCTTCGTACCCTGGCATCCTCTTTGGGAACAGCAGGAATAGTATGGCAAACATGAGGGTCAGCATGGAGAGTGAGATGTGTGTGACCCACCAGTCGTTCCTTACTGAACTGGCCACGAGCCAGTTCTCCCCGCTCAGCCCGAGGGATAGCCGGATAGATATCAGTATACCTGGAAGGAAATACGATGTTTGGATTTCAACTAATTTTAAAAGAAAGGCTCCAGTTAATTGTATTTGTATATGCATTATTTGCAACTATTTCCACTTGTTAAAACGAAAATTTACGAAGTTGACGGCCAATATTTTGAATAAACTATGTTATATCCACCGCATCCTGACCACGTCGTGGCCGTGATGTGGTGTAATCCACGTCGAAACGTCAGCAATAAAGAAGCAGGTATGCAGGTACTATTTACATGCAAATTTTTCATCGTGTTAAGTCCCGATAGTGTATTTAAAATATGTGTCGACAACGCAAAAGTTTAAAATTGAATTCCATCGGCCAATTTCCAAAAGTGGGGAGGCACCTGAAAACTAAAAATTCTTATCTCCTGTTGGTTATCATGTGGCAATTATTTGCAAAAAATTAAGTTAACATTCACGAATTCGATATAAAAATCTAATTTTGTTACGAACGGAGTAAACCTTATAGATTATAAAAAGAATCATTAAAATCAGCATAGAATTTGTGGTATCGCATAAAAGCAACTTACAAAAATATGCAGTTGATCCTTTTCCTTTTCAATTTAGGGATTATGATGTAATAAAAAAATTGGTAGGTACCATACCATACCGTAGAAATATGGTCCATTTTGTGGCTCATGATCATCCAAGTATGTCAGGCCGAGGGACCAGATCGCCAGTTTGGTCAGGGAACACAGCACAGCCGTGAATATGAGCATGATTGTCCGGGGCACAATCATCGGGTCTGATGCGGTTCTTCCAAGATCCCTAGGCATTATATCACCACCGCAAAGTTCTATTTGAAAAAAAAGAGAAAATTTAGAGAATAATAAACAAAATGTAGTGAAAATTCACAGAACAAGTGCATTTTTATATACATTTTACATTTATACTTTGATCGTCAAATCAGTCTTTAACGATCCATTGCTGGTCATAGGCCTCCCCCATAGACTGCCATAAGGAACGGTCCTGCGCCACCTGTGTCCAATGACTTCCTGCAATGCATTTGAGTTCGTCACTCCATCTAGTGGAGGGTGGTCCTACACTGCGTTTGCCCGTATAGGGACGCCACTCAAAAACCTTTCTTTGCTATCGGTTGCTGATTCTTCGAGCTATGTGATTAGCCCATTGCCACCTCAGCTTGCTTATCTTTCGGGCTATGTCGGTCACTTTGGTTCTTTTGCGGATATCCTTAACCATGTTGGACCATGGTTCGGTTCCATAAGTCATCACTGGCAACACGTACTGGTTAAAAACCATCGTATTTAATCGCAAAATCAAAATCATCGTCATTACAATTTATGTCTCAGTATTATGAACAAGTCTTTCTTTATATTATTATTGCCTTTAATTTTACCAAAAGGAGACTTTGTACAAAAGTCGTTTGCTTGGCCAACTCTGTCCTATTCGTGTTTCTACCATGAAGCAGTTGTGTTTGCATGGCTGTGTTTCGGTTTGAAGGGTGGGATATGGTAGTGAATTTACAATATACACAGGATTAAAATTTGAGCCCTCAGGAATGGCAACGCATGGGGGGTATCATGGGCGAAACAGTCTACTCTGTTATGTCCATGGTACTGCTCATGTCTATAGGCGACGGTTACCACTTTCCATCAGGTGGGTCGTCAGCTCGTTTGCCATTCTATTTTGCATAAAAAAATAAAGAAATAAAATCATTTGCCACTAGTCTAGTGGTTTTAATAAAAATCTTACCAACGTTCACAATATTTTCCTCTGCAAATGGGAATGCCAGTACAAGTAAGCCCGATGCTGCAGTGATAGCAATCCAGCAGGCTAAAGCGTAATTTCTCTTCTTCCGACCGTACCATGATAGAAGCGCGCCGAAGAGGAACTCAGTTCCAGTAGATCCGATAAATACCCAATCTAGAAGCAGAGGAGATTGGATCAATAGATAAAGTAACATCCAATACGACTATACTCATAGAAGTCTACTTATGTTTCTGTTATGCTTATTTAAAAGTGGGACATATCTATTTTCTTTTTTACAAAGAACTTCAAAAAGGAGTTCCTAAATTCGGTTGTATTTTTGTTACCTCGCAATTTCGTTGTAAACTAATGAGAAAATTATTTTTTTTTTTATCTGAAAGGATATACTTATTTATAGATTAGTTCCATAGAAATTTTATCAAAACCAGACTCTCTAGACACGTAGCAAGCAAATCAATTGATGGAATCGACGTCGCCATGGAGTTCATGAGGTAGAATCAGATAGCAATGTTTTTTTTTTTTACAACACAGGGGCAAACTAGTATGCGGCTCACCTGGTGGTAAGTGACTACCGCCGCCCATGATCACCCACAACATTAAAGGCATTGCAGGTGTGCTGCCGGTCTTTTAAAAAGGTTATATTATTGCTGACTAGCAATATCATTTATTTCCATTTAAATTAGCAGTATTATGTATAAACTCATGCAAACTCTAAATTAATCAGTCGTAATTTAGTTAGCCAAATTACTGCCCAGGTATGGACCTGGTTTCTGCCCGCCGATGTGGCCAGCAAAACTAACTAGTTAGATTCATCCAGGCTCAATACAACCCTGAGGGGAAAGGGATTGTTAGTAATGGAGACTGAGAATCCCATTGCTAGCAATATACTCAGCCAGGTCGACCTCCTCACGGTTCTCTCTGGAAACTATCAAGCTAAATTCTTTATAAATTCATCATGATGGGCTAACTGGCCTGTTTTCATTCTCATCTATCACCCTTCACTGGTGCTCCGTCAGCGTATCCCGTTAGCGCAGCCCGGGTTACCATACCATTTTCACCCATCAAAAAAAAAATACAACCCTGAACCAAGGGTCTCGCGCGTCGCGAGTCAAAGTGAACTTTTAAATCAGTGAAAATGTACTATTAGCTGTGTATAAAAAAATATAAATAATTTCGATGCGTGGGAATTTTTTTTTACCAGAAACATTAAAAAATATGTAATTGTTTTTGAAAATAGACACATAAATTGCCACGCTTTGTCCAGCTAAAGTTATTGTGATAAAACTCATGTTCCACACATTCCACAAACGTTCTTCAGTCTTTTGATATTTAAATCGCAATGTAGGTAATATTTGACGTCACAGTATTTACAATGTATTGGGGAAAGGGACTGTTAGCAATGGAGTTTGACAGCCCCATTGCAGCAATATACCCTATTAAGTCGACCTCCACGTGGTTCCCCCTGGAAACCATCGTGAACAATTCTTGTTGAATTCGTCACGATGGGCTAACTGATTTGCTTCATCCTCACCTATCATCCTTCACTGGTGCCCCGCCGGTGTATACCGATAGCACGGGTGGGGTTGCCATTCCATTGTCATCCATTAAAAAAATGATGTATAGTATCGAATATACACACAGATAGTTAATTGTTTATCAGTTAACCCATCAATATCTAATCGCGTTATTCATAATATTTCATTAAAATGTCACCAGCTGTGAAAGATAACGGAACGGGCCTTATATTTCTGAATATAATTACGCTTAGTTGTGCTTTATTTAATGACACGAGAGATAATTGAGACTACTTTATTTACGTACGCGTGTACTTGTTATAAAAAAAAAAAACAACCTAAAAAATACTACTTATTAACTAAAAGTATTTATACGAAGCGAAAGAGGTTTGTTTGAATCGAAGCATTTGGCGTTCCATTGTTTCTGCCTACCCTAATGGGAGACAGGCGTGACAGATACGTATGTATGTATGTATGTATGTATTTATACGATTAAATATAATGTAATTAATCATTACATAGTATAAAACAAAGTCGCTTTCCGTCTGTCCGTCCCTATGTATTAAATTTTTAAAATTACGCAATGGATTTTGAAGCGGTTTTTTTAATAGATAGAGTGATTCAAGAGGAAGGTTTATATGTATAATACATGTATAATATTGTAGAATAAAAAACACTGATAATTTTAGAGGTTTCTAATGTGATGTGATGTAATGTGCACCCATGCGAAGCCGGCGCGGGTCGCTAGTTATGTATAAATTTAAGTATGTCTAGGTCCTTTTTTTGCAAATTTTCACAATATTGTACACCGCTCTACCCGCTGACATTGATGCTCCTTTCCACTGTGGGTGTTGCTGCAAAAAAACTCTTTTAGAGTTGAGCTCGTACTTTGTACATTTGATTACCTATTTTTACATTTATGTATAATTAATTTAGTTAATTAAATTAGTGTGTACAATAAAGTATCCAATAAAAAAATAAAATAAAAAAAAAAGTAAATACGATAATGAGGAATTGAATGATGTTTCCAAGAGGAACCGCGTGGAGGTCGACCTGATAGGGCGTATTGCTAGCAATGGGTCAATTAGACCCCATTACTCACAATCCTTTTCCCCCTTTTTGTAATTGTTCGCATTTACAATAAATTTACTAATATGTTCTCTTGGATGAAATAATAAAAAAAAATATAACTATAGTATGTGAGATTGAAAATACCAAAATTGAAAATAATCAAAAATGATAAATATAATAACATAAAGAGACTTACCGCGAATCAATAGAGGAAGATAACCTGTATCTGCATCTCTTTTCAACAGCAGGTACACGTTGGCCTCCAGGAGGATCACAATAAGCAGAGTCCCCTGTAGGAACAGGTCGAATCGAGGTATTGTCAGGATGTATGTGCGGAGGAAGTGCCAGAACTTGTGAAATACTGCAGGAATAACATTATAACTTGATTACGTTATACTACACCTGTGTTATAAATTATCATAATTACATAGAACTAGAAAAAGGCATAGTAACTCGACTGTAAATTAATTTTTTAAGTTAAGTTTGATAGAAAATGGTTACTAATGCAAGTAATATGGACCAATAGAGTGCTTCATCCTCACCTATCATCCCTCCATCATTTACGCATAATTATGTAACAAACAGAGGGATGGGCAGCAGCGTTTCTCTTAAAATATCACCAAAGACTAACTGCGGTAGCCAATCCACCTGCCAAGCGTGGCAACTAGTGGCAAAATCCTCTAAGGATGAGGCATGTGTTCAGCAGTGGACAATTTTTCTTATTGGATGTTAATGGAATGGTAACCCCGCCAGCGCTATCGGTATACACTGGCGGGGCACCAGTGATGGATGATAGGTGAGGATGAAGCAGGTCAGTCAGCCCATCGTGACAAATTCAATAACAATTCAATTACGATAGTTTCCAGGGGTAACCACGTGGAGGTCGATCTGACAGGGTTTATTGTTAGCAATGAGGTTACTAATCCCCATTACTAACAATCCCTTTTCCCCCCAGCAGTGGGCAGTACGGGTGATATCGGCATCATCATCATTTATACATCATCTATATAGCTTTACGTAGTGACATATTGAATATTTTGTAGGACTAAATATATTTTTTTTTAATGTGTGAAAATGGTATGGTAACCCCGCCTGCGCTAACGGGATACGCTGGCGGGGCACCAGTGAAGGATGATAGATGAGAATGAAAACAGGCCAGTTAGCCCATCATGATGAATCCATCAGGAATTAACCATGATAGTTTCCAGGGGGAACCGCGTGGAGGTCGACATGGCTGGGCTATATTGCTAGCAATGGGATTCTTAGTCTCCATTACTGACAATCCCTTTTCCCCCGGACTAAATGTATTTATTATGTTTTTATAATTATTAACATAATTTAAGATACCATATTATCATACTAATACACTACATAAAGTGATTATACAATCTTAATTGTGATATAATTTGGAGGAACACAGATTTGGTTATCTATTGTAGAATTTCAATATAAATAAGTACAGATAAACTGTAATAAAATTAATTGTTTGTACAGCTTCATATTGCTATGAAATGTATATATAAACTTTTCCTTGGTAACAAAACAAAAATAATATTACAGAAGGTAGATTAAATCTATTTGTGTTGCCACTATTATTCTGAATTTGTTAATTTATGGCATGGTGTTGTCTTTTATATAAAAAAAATAATAATTTAAAATCGTACGGTCGTTTAAGCATGATTGAATGACAAACATCTAATTATATTAAAAAAATATTCTATGGATCACTATATATCATATATATATATATATATATATATATATATATATATATATATATATATATATATATATATATATATATATAATATTCTTTATTATATATAATAGTTGGAAACACAAGAGTATAGAATAAATGTAATGTTATCTGATGAAAATGATTTATTTTTTTTATTTATAAATGAAGGTAGACTTCAAAGTTTATCTTAGTGATTTATTCACTTTATTATTGTTAAATTCAAATTTTCAAATTCAAATCATCTTTATTCGAATAGACTTGTTTACAAGCACATTTAAATCGTCAATTTTTTTTAATCCACTGCAAGGTTTGGAAGGTCGTTATCTGTTGAGAAGAGACCGCAAGAAACTCGACAGTTACTCTTTTAAATCTCTGTTAACATTATGTGTATTTATTTAAATGTCTAAAATTACATGGTCGTTAAAAGCTCGTGCATGATTGACTAACGCCATGCACATTTGTCATTCAAATAATCGTTTTGTGTGAAATAAGCTTTGTTCAATAAGTGTTTTTTATAAACAGTTTTAAACTTATTAAAATGTAGATCCAAAATATCTTTCGGTATTTTATTATAATATTTAATGCCCATTTCCCATAAAAGACATAACTTTTTCTAAACGATGCTTCCGAACAGCAAGTTTGAATTTGTACTAATGTTAAGATTATTAAGATCGCTGTATAGAAAAAGTATACATTTTATCTATGGTTATTTCACTTGATATTTTAAATGTAGTAAAAAAAAACGCTTACTCGTCTTTTGCTCGAACATTTTGTCCACTTTATTGTTTTTTTTTATTCCAGGAATTAACTACAATTTTTCATTATTAAATTCCGTTTTACAGTTTAATTGAAGTTGAGCACAGATTAAAAATCACAGTTTTAGCACTCGGCACGTGAATTGAATATTATGCGCGTAACATTGGAATCGTGGAAACAAATTAGTTATTATTGATTTGACAATTTTTGACTGTGTTATCTGTGTGCACTTATCTATTGATTAATTATCGTATGTTTGTGAATATTCGTCCGCATAAAAGATAGCCTCTCGACAGTCTGCTATCGGAGGATTCTTGGATACTTCGGTCATATTGCTCGACGACAGTCCAACATGTGGACAAACTAATAGTTGTAGGCAAGATAGAGGGGAAAAGACCACGCGGACGATCGCCTAATCGATGGTCGGACCTAATAACCGCAGTTACGGGACTGTCAGTTGCAGCTGCTTTGTGAGAGGCTGAAGACCGTGCAAAATGGAATAACATCATAAGAGAGGCAACAGACACCTTTCAAGGACACGAGTTTCAGTAATGAAGAGGACGAAGAGAGAGAGAGAGTTTGTGAATTTTAAGGTTGGAATTGCTTTGGCATTTGTATTTACTAACTGTATCTCTTGTGGGGAAAAGGATTGTTAGCAATGGAGTTTGACAGCCCCATTGCTAGCAATATACCTTATTAGGTCGACCTCCACGTGGTTCCCCCTGGAAACCATCGTGAACAATTCTTGTTGAATTCGTCACGATGGGCTAACTGATCAACTTCATCCTCACCTATCATTCTTCACTGGTGCCCCGCCGGTGTATACTGATAGCGCGGGTGGGGTTACTATTCCATTATCATCCATTAAAAAAAAAAAACTGTATCCCTTGACTCTACATGTGAAGCGGTACATATAGTATCTCTCGACCATTAATCCCTTAGTCGCTTTTTACGACATTCATAGACCGAGAAGTGGCCCATTCTGTGTTGGGGCAATACGGCTTTATTAAATACTAGCGACCCGCCCCGACTTCGCGCGGGCACACATTATATCACGTCACATTAGAAACCTCTAAATTTGTCAGTGGTTTTTTACAATATTATGTATGTATTATACATATAAACCTTCCTCTTGAATCACTTTCACTCAAAAAATCACACTATTAAAAAAAACCGCTTCAAAATCCGTTGCGTAGTTTTAAAGATTTAAGCATGGATAGGGACGGACAGACAGCGACAGCGACTTTGTTTTAACATATACAATGTAGTGATATTACTGAGAGAAAAATTAAAGCGAGTCAGTTATGTAAATATTATCTGTAAAAAGGAATTATTCGGGTAAGTATATTAGAATTAAAATAATTATATTTAAAATAACATATTATTACCTAATAACTAGTTGTGCAGAAATACATTTATTATAATTTACAAAAATCTAGATAATATACATATCGTTAGCAGCCAAACTAGAACATACTCTGTGAAAAACTAACACTTCATTAAATAGGCTCGAAATGCTGGTATATTTACTTATTTATTTGTTACTAAACAATACAATTTGTACAAATGGCGCGCTTAATGCCTTATGGTATTCTCTACCAGCTTACCATTAGGTTAATTAATTACTAAATGAATTACTCGTAATAATTCATATATTAAAAGAATATTATTATATTTTATATCAAAGCTATTATTTGAGATATGTTACACTTCCATAATACATTTTTTTTTTTTACTTTACATAATATCGACGGTGGTAGGGTTGCCATCTGCCACGATACATTCAAATGTATCTACTAAATGCAGTCACGTTGACAAATATCTCTTCTGAAAGTGTTCTCTTTTTCTAGAATACTTAAATACAAGTTCCATTATTTATGTTATATTATTATTCATATTGTTAATATCTTTACTCATTTAATGACATTTAATAATTTAATTCTATTTTAATGTTTATCAAACACAAGGCATGCTGTGGTTGCCTATAAATGTAAGAACAGTAAGATCTAATCTACCAGTGTATTGTATTGAAATGTTTAGCTGTATCTTATGTTGGTAATCCTATAAATAAATAAATAATGATAATTTTCTTAAACATTGATAAAAAAAAGACAATTAAAAAGCCGATTCTGATGTAACATTAAAAAAAAAAATAGGAAAATTTTCAAACGCGGTAAAAATAAAAAAAAAAAAAAACAAAACATTATTGTATAAAGTTTAATTAACTCTTAATTCAATAATCACAACAAGATTATATTTTGTCATTATTTTATTACAAGATATTAATACTATTAGCATTTATTCTAATAACAAATTTATAAATATTATGTATTTAAAGCTTAAATTATTGAGAATTATTACCATTTTTATTGCACATATTTTATATTTATTACATTTATGTTGTAAATATACATATTTAAATAACTATCGCATATTAAGTTTGTCTTTTTTTTAAGCATTATGTTATAATTAAGTACTTTACAATTTACTTGATAAACTGGTTTTTTTTTCTGGCCTTTAAACTGTTACATCTCTGATTTGTGACTATTACTTTTAAACAAATAATAATATTTTATAACAATTATAATATATACGAAGTGTACTAAGGAAATATTGGTGTCGATTCTAAGACGCCATTTCACTAAACTTTCTTTAAACTTCAATACAAAATTATATAAGTAAGTGTACATATGGCGTGAAGAGTGAACGAGAAAAGAACATTAATTAAAATAATAGAGAAGAGAAGAGGCAAAATGCTGGGCCATCTTATACGACATGACGATTTTTTTAAGAGCATAGTAGAAGGAAAAATAGAGGGCAAAAGAGGAAAAGGAAGACCGAGGAATAACTACATGGGACACTAGGTATTATGTCGTATAGAGAGATCAAGGATATGTCCTGCGATAGAGCTGGCTGGAAGAAGATGCATGAATTAGTTGCACCGACAAGAGGAAACTCTTAAATGAAAAGAGAGACATATGGCGTAAAAGTAAACTAATTAAATGTAAAATAAAATATAATATATTATAATTAAACAAATATGGAAAATTAAAATATTTTAACTAGCAAAAAATTAAACTGTAATTAATTAAAATTAATATTAAATTACTTATGTCTTAACCAAATATTTTTAATTGTCAATTTCTCGAAGTTACTGTTTTATGGGTCGTCATAAACTAAAATTATAATAATTTTGACTTAAATTCATTAGAAAATTGGTTGATATTGGTCCTTAAAATAAATATCTTGCTCTGATATCAAACTGAAATGTTATGTTTCGGAGATAGATTTGAAGAAACGGTGCTTCAGAATCGACCCCATTATTTCACAATAGGTAATATTTATTAGAAAATATAATTGACGTTAAGTTTATATTTTAGTTTACAAAATTATACATAACACTTAACTTATATAAATTAATATTTTGAGAGCATTTATCACATGTCAGTTCACTTTTCACCACCACTATGCTTACTTGTTGCTCATAGTTTTTTTCTATATCACTAATACGGCCGGTCTGATGGGATAAATATCAAAGCATGCCACTGAAATAGTCGTGACAAATGAATTTTTTACATAATTAAAATGCATTTACTATAACGATTCTTGTTTGACCCTATTTTTATTTATTTTTTGCTTATTATTTCACAATTTTCATTACTATTCATGTTTATAAATTAAATAAAATTTATATAAAATCAACAATTGTGTATGTAGCATTAGAAATTTCACTGAATTAATATTATATAGCTTATTGTTGTCATGTAGCTTACAGCTGTAATTATTAAGTTATTTCAGCTGTAAGCTTTCTTAAAAAATAATAAATAGTAATAAATAAATAAATTATAGTATATATATATATATATATATATATATATATATATATGTTTGCTGTCGTCGTTCGTGATGTCACGTATGGACACCACAGAATATCAGCGCTGTAGCAATTAAATTGCTGCAGCACATACTGAGTGGTGACCACGTTGGCAATAATAAATGTAAAGTTTTTTTTTTTAATTCATAATTTATGGAACTTTTTGTTGTTGTCAATAAATGTTTTCTTCTTTCTTTCTATTTAGTGAGGGTAGGGCGATGCTGTCTGAGATATAGGTTTTATAGCTTAGTTCAGACACAGATGTTTAAGTTGATCTAAATGTATTAATGAATTTAAATATTCGTTATTATTTTTACTGTAATTTCTATAATGTTTATTACTATATATATGTATTACTATATATATGTATATATCGCCGTCTGGTCCCGGTATAGAATACGCCACAATTTTTTCTCATGGGTGTCGTAAAAGGCGACTAAGGGAGAGCGAGGGATGGGCAGGATCGTCCCTCTTAAAACATCACTAACAGTCTAACTGCGGTTGCCAACCCGCCTGCCAAGCATGGCAACTACTGGCAAAACTCCACTTCTAGGGAAGGCTTATGTTCAGCAGTGGACAGTTATTATGTATATTATTTTAATGTTATGGAATAAAGTTGTTTTTATTATTTATTTATGGACATAATAATCTTACTAATATAATAAAATAATAATTAGACGATATCTGTAGGGTTTTTTTTTATGGTTGAAGGTGCATTTGTTCGGGCATACCGTCCTTGCTATTTGATACGGGTGGCGGGATACCTGCTCCATTGGACACATAAAGGTCCTAATAAGGGTTATATAAGCCAAAATAATAATTATTAGGAATTTTGTCTATCTATCTGTCTGTCCGTCTATCTGACATTTGATCTGTTTGTCTGTATGTTTGTTCCGGTATTATACGAAAGCTACTGCATGAAATTGAATACAATTTTCACAGTTGTGTTCTCTAAGGTCTATCTTAAAAACTGATGTATGTTTATCCTGATACTCCATGTAGAAGTGGTATTTTCATTGGCCTTTCTATTCCAAAAATCCACGTGTACAAAGTAGCGGACAAAAATTAGTTTTAATTATAAAAAAAAACGTTATTTCTTTCTTCTAGCAATAACTCCATGTTTTTTTTTTCTTTCAAATATAGTAATAAATAAGTATATAATATTATTTTTCTAATTGAGACAAATACTTCCTAAGTTTCTTGACTTGCATAAGGTAACGTTTTACTTTTAAATTTTTGTCAATAAAAATACAAAAAAAAAAAAATCACATAAACCTACGTTTGCAGTCCAAATAGTTTTAAGCTAACATTTCCTACGCCGTCCCCAGCAGCTTCTCAGCAAGCCACGGTATGTAATATGTCACTCTAGAATAAACACCCGGGAAGCCAGCCTCGGCGCACTTCTTTCCGTAGGACACCACACCGATCTGGTAGAAGTATGTCGTGTAGTCAGATGGATTCCACTGGAAAAAAATAAAATTATATTATACTATATTCCGCAGGGATATAACAGCGACAGTATCCTATCTTCTTGGGATGTTACCTATCCGTGTACTCAAATTCATGCAAATCTGTTCAGTAGTTTTAGCATGAAAATGTAACAAACAATTACTCCTCTCCATCCAAAGGTTGGCTGGAAGAGATCGCTATTAGCGATAAGGTCGCCCATTGTTTTCTCATTGTGATTATTTCTTGTAATTGTTTATATTTATAATAAGTTTACTATTGTAATCTTTTGGAGGAAACAATAAAGAGTATCTATATATATTGATCCATTTTTTTTACAAACTTTAGAACGGTATAGAATACTTTATTTGCTTTGAATATGTGGTACAGGGTTTCATATTCAATTAATATTAAGCATGTAAATTATATAAATATAGCTTTTTTTTTAAGTTACTAATTAATTTTACAATAAATAAATAAATTTCCATTAAACAAATTCGTACCTACATACCATGTCATATTAATTATTAAAAAAATTTAAATTGGAAATAATTACATTATATATATAAAAACTACAATTTTATTAGCTTTTCTATTTCTGAAATACACGCATACGAAATACGAGTAGCAAGCAAAAAGCCAGTAAAATATAAATAAATAAATAACTCACAATAGGCTGCATAAGTGGTCCCCCACTGTCGCCCTGGCAAGCGTCCTTCCCCCCATTCTTGTAGCCGGCGCACAAGACCCTCTCGTCTATCTTCTGCGCCTTGTACTGCGAATAAGCTTGAGCGCAGGAGTCTGTGCTGACTACAGGCAACTGGAGCGCTTGCAGGTGGGTCGCTGATGGTCCTCCTAAATGAAGATTGAAGGAAGAAACTATTAGTAACAAGGACTATCGCTTCAATTGTACATACTCGAAGACCCCAATCTCACAGGCAGTATTTAGCCCTTAAGTCTAAGGTGAGACTGCCTCCCTTTGTGTGTTCTACCTCTTATACAACGGATTGTGTTCTGAAGAATTGTTCGAAATGATGCTGGTCATGGCTGGAAAGAAGCCATATAGTATATTTAAAAAAAGAAAAAGAATGATTTGAATTTTTGCATACCATTCTTGTATCTCTTCGTGTAATGTCTTATAACTATAATTTTGTTATGTAAATAAATATAAAAAACACTAGTGGACCTATAAAAGTGGTATCATTTTGGAATACGTCGTCTAGGTGCTGATAGTCACCATTCATAGTGGCACCGCTTCCCATCGACAGGGAAATCATTCACATATGCTAGAACATTAATACAGTGTGGTTTTGAAGGAGGAAGAGGAGTTTTCTTCAGTGAATACTCAGGCTGTTGAATAAGTTCCCTGTCGAGGATTCCTCTAGAGACTACAGTATGGACTTTTTCAAAATGGGTCTGTGTATTTTCAGGGTCGGCAACACGCACGTGACATCCTTAGTGTCGCAGGCGTCCATAGACTAAAACTACCGATTACCGTACGACCCAGAGGGGCTGTATGCCAGCTTCGTGATATAAAAAAATTTAATTGTATAAATGCTAAATTTATCAGCTTAATTTATTAACCAGAGGGAGACTTTGTACAAAAGTCAATTGCTTGGGTACCTCTGTCCCATTCGTGTTTCAACCGTGAAGCAGTTGTATTTGCATGGCTGTGTTTCGTTTTGAAGGGTGGGATATGGCGTGAATTTACTGGGTACAGAGGAATAACGCCTGAGTCCTCAGGAATGGCAACGCATGGTGGGTATCATGGGCGAAACAGTATACTCTGTTATGTCCATGTTACTGCTCATTTCTATAGGCGACTGTTACCACTTTCCATCAGTTGGGCCGTCAGCTTTTTTGGCATTCTAAGTTGTATAAAAAAAAATTTGGATAATTGTGCATGATACCCTTAGTGTTGCAAGCAACCATAAACTACAGTGACCGTTTACCATCAGACGGGCTGTATGCTTGTTTGCAATGAAATGAAATTAAATTACAGGGTTCGGAGATTTATTTCTACATCTTAATCATTAGTAATGGCAACTTATAAAGTATACGTAACGTCATAGAGCTGTTCACGTCTATAGGCTACCTTCTATCAGGTAAACTATGGCAATATTAAATTGTCCATCAGAAATCGTTGCTCCTAAAAGATGATACTGACTTTAACACAATTAAATCGGAACGGTTTTAAATTATGTTTGGTGGTTAAATTCGTCTACCTTCAGCAACTAGGATCGAAGGTATTTGGTAAAATAAAAAGCTAGCATGTGACATTCAGACATTATTTTTATTTTTGGTTAGGGTTTTTTTTATGCAACTCAGAATGGCAAACAAGCTGACGGCCCACCTGATCGAAAGTGGTAACTGTCGCCTGTAGACATGAGCAGTACCATGGACACAACAGAGTATATTGTTTCGCCCATGATACCCCCCATGCGTTGCCATTCCTGAGGACTCAGGTATTAATCTAGATCATCAGGAATAGATGTGTAGTAAAATGCTTAAATTAAACTTGTAATAATTGTGTAAATGGTATTAGGTCTTATTAAAAAGATGTCTACAGAATATGGTACTTACTAAATTCTGTGGCTCCCCACCCCGTAATTATAGGGTTGTAATTCTCGAAGGTTCTCTCTCTCAGCTCCGAGCTAGCCGGTAGGCAGATCGGTCTGATCAAATCTATAAAAATGGAAAGCAAATAAAAGAAAAGTAATACAAATTCGTTATTATAGCTTAATTATTTAATAAGTTTTTATTAAACTTGCTATTAAATATTAATTATTATTATATATTATTATTATTTACCTTTCATTCAAAATTGATATTTTACTTTTTAACCACTTATTAGCTTCCGATTGTGTTAAGATTTGGCGTATTTATATAAGTTTGGTAATTTATTAATATTATTGTTATGGTATAATGATTAGTTACACATGATAAATCTGTCATATTTGAGCTTGTTTGATTTATCTTGAGAAAACATAATAAAGAAATATATAACGTAAATAAAGAAATTGATAAAGTTTTTTTTTTTATACAACTTAGAATGGCAAGCAAGCTGACGGCCCACCTGTTGGAAAGTGGTAACCGTCGCCTATAGACATGAACAGTACTATGGACACAACAGAGTATACTGTTTCGCCTATAATATCCCCCATGCGTTGCCATTCCTGAGAATTCAAATGTTATTCCTCTGTACCCTGTAAATTCACGCCATATCTCACCCATCAAACCGAAACACAGCCATGCAATACAACTGCTTCACGGTAGAAACACGAATGGGACAGAGATACCCAAGCAATCGACTTTTGTACAAAGTCTCCCTCTGGTAGGACCCAGTAAGTACCCAGGCGGACTTATCCCTTGAAGGGATTTCTACTAGTCATTCTGTATGGTGCCTAGAGCCAAACCAAAGCCTAAGATTACAAGAGTATTTTTTTAAATGATTTTAAAATAACTTATTTTATATTTCATGTAAATCTATTTTATAATATGAAAAGATAAGGAAAATATATGTGAACTGCTTACTGTTATGGCTCATTTTTTTTAAATTCTCCTTCGACAACTTAAATTTTTTATGCAATATAGAATTCTGACTAAAATAATGTGACGTCCTACTTATTGGAAAGTGGTATAGTCCTATAGATATTAACAATACCATAACATCACTTTTTGATGTATTAGTTGTGTAAAGTATATCAAAGCATGCGAGAGATGAAAAGCTGCACAGTGGTGATAATGACGGTATCAGCCGTGAACTGTCCACTGCTAAACATTGGCCTCTCCCTTGGGAGGTTTTCAGTAGTTGCCAAATTTGACAGGAGGATTGATCTGGACATAGACCTCCCCCATAGTTGGGGGTTTTCATCATCATATCAGCCTTTAACTGTCCACTGTTGAACAAAAGCCTCCCCCTTGGGGGGTTTTGCCAATAGTTGCCACGCTTGGCAGGTGGCTTGATAATCGCAGTTATTTTTTGGCTTTGGTAATGTTTTAAAAGCGAAGCTGCTGGCTATCCGTCGCCCTCCCTTAGTCGCCTCTTACGACACCCACGGGAAAGTAAAGGATGGCCCATTTTATGCCGGGATGATACGGCAGTGTACATACAAAGTATTGTGGATAATGTATTGGATGAACCTGTAAATTGAACTTCTTTCTCCAGCACCAGAACTCCTATATCGTTAGTGTAGGCTTTGGAGCTGTACTGTTCGTGTTTGATCTTCTTTTTGATCAGGACGTCGGTCGGTGTGGCGCCGTCGTCTTCCTTTGCTAGGTCGAGCTCTCCCAAGCGAACGAGGAACCTAAAACAATTTAAATTCTATTAATATACTCGTCATATACACGAATGGTGCAGTAACGTGTAAAATAAAAAAAATAAATGTTTGTAACGATAACTGGATAGATAGATGGATGTTTGTTATTCTTTTACGCAAAAACTACTAAACGGATTTGTATGAAATTTAGTACACGAGTAGGTTATATCTTAACTTAGCATATAGGATACTTTATGTGCTTAGTATTAAATAAATAAAGAAGTTAAGACGAATTCTATTAATTGTAAAAAAAAAAAAATTAAATCGATTTTGAAGCGAAGTGAATAATTTGAGAACTTAGAAGCTAGACATTTAACTGGCTTGCTTCTCTAGTTAGGTTCTGATTTAAATCATAATTTATTTGTGTCTAAACACTAAGTATACAATTACTATAAGACTAAAAATTTGAGAAACTGTAAATGTAAAAAAATATAAAAATGTATTTTGAAGTATATATAAGCGTAAACGTTTAACAGTGATTCCTACACTTCTTGATTTCTACAGGACTATGGCTGTCCTGTAGAAATCAGGATAAATAACAGAAAGCGTTAACAATAAGCAGTTTTTTCAATGGGTGATAATGGAATGGTAAACCCACCTGCGCTATCGGTATACGCTGGCGGGGTACCAGTGAGGGATGATAGTTGACGACGAAAGCAGGTCAGTTAGCCCATCGCGACGAATTCCACTAGAGTTAACCACGATGGTTTCCACTAAGAACTGCGGGGAGGTCAAACTGATAGATTGCATTGCTGGCAATGGGATAGTTAGACCCCGTTACTAATAATCCCTTTCCCCTGAACGATAAGAATTTTAACAAGATTCTAAAACCTCAATCAAATATAATGTGAAAATATCAATCTAGAAAAGTTTACTTACTATTGTGACATTGCTTAATGGACGGTACACAAAACATAAACATTTCTTGCAAAGATACACTTGCTAAATATGTAAGTACATAACATTTTATGATCTTTAGGTAGCCGTCGAGATAATGGCTTGGAAATGGCCTTGGAGACTTATGGTATACAGATTGAATAGATCAACGTGAACCGGTTAAACTGGTGGATCTCAAGCCTAACATAGTTGTAAAGATATCTCGTGTTAATTTATTAATAAAGTCATTACCAGATGACATGTTGGTATGTTGATATGGACAGGAGGAGAATAAAGTTGTTTTGTATTTCCTAACATTTAATGAATCTTCAATGTTGAATCTTAAATCTTCAAAATTATTTAAACTGTCCGGTGCTGAACATAAGTCTTTCCCACGAGGGAGTTTTGCCAGTAGTTGGCACGCTTGGCAGGCGGGTTGGCAACCGCAGTGAGGCTTTTAGAAATGTTTTAAGAGGGACGCTGCTGCCCATCCTTCTACCGTTATGTTCTCTTACTACGTAAAAAGTGCTTACGACACTCACGGGAAAAGAAGAGGTGGCTTATTCTATGCCAGGATCACAGGGCATATATATATATATATATATATATATATATATATATATATATATATATGCAATGTTAATTACTTTTAATTTTTTATATAATGATTCTAACAAAGTATAGATTTTAAAATTTGACAGATAATCTAGACGTTGGGAGCCCCAGTGTGAAGTCTATTAAGTAAATATATACGAACATCAAAACCTTCTAAATATTAGCCTGAGTCTATATTTATAAGTCAACGCAATTACATATTTCCACACATGTCTATTTGTTCACGCTGATATTTTTATACGAATACATCCGCTTGTATGTCTGTTTACGTAGTTTATATGCACTCTAGTAAGTATAGTTACCAGGAAACGATAAACGATTTCTATTTGTATGGGGAAACCCAGTTGTCAAATTTTTTAGTATCTCCAACTAGGAGGACTTTCTAAATTTGTTAGTTTTTTTTTTTGTGTGTGTATCAAAATTGATTCAGAAAGATTTGCACAAATGCAATATCTTCTTTAATACTTTAATAATGAGCTTGGTAGTAAATTTTTTTTATTATTAATGTTTGATAATGGAATAGTAAGTAACCTCGCCAGCGCTATTGGTATTCGCTCAATAAGAGATAAGCAGGTGAGAATTTTTTTTTCTACAATTTAGAATACAAACAAGCTGACGGCCCACCTGATGGAAAGTGGTAACCATCACCTATAGACATGAGCAATACCATGGACATAACAGAATATACTGTTTCGCTCATAATACCCCCCATGCGTTGCCATTCCTTAGGACTTAGGTGTTATTCCTCTGTACCCAGTAAATTCACGCCATGTTCCACCCTTCAAACCGAAACACAGCCATGAAAACACAACTGCTTCATGTTTGAAACACGAATGGGACAGAGGTACCCAAGCAATCGACTTTTGTACAAAGTCTCCCTCTGGTAAATGAAAGCAAGTCTTCTGGCTGGATGGTGGCGAATTTACTAGAAATTAACCTCTATGGTTTCTAGTGGTCCTGTGTGGAGGTCGACCTGACAGGGTATATTATTATTGCTAGCAATGAGGACTGATTTCCGAATTACTAGTAATCCCTTCAATGACCTGTAGTTCTATGCTAGAATTACGCATTTTTTTTTACTTGATTAAAGCCGCGTAAAAGTAAGAACTGAACTTTTCTGAAGTCCGTGTGAAATGAAATATCATAAGAGAGGCAACAGACACTCTTAAAGGACTTACGCGACCTTCAGTAATGAAGTGTACGAAGAGAGAAAGAGAGATTTTTACGTAAGTCGAATGTAAATGTAATGTAATGTAAATTGGACTCTCTTTTCCGCGTTTAGTCTCTTATTTGGGCCGTTGTGCGTATGAGTCGTAGCTAGTACAGCCAACCTAGCTCCGACCATTACGTAAGTCGAAAATTGGATTCATCAAATATTCAATTTAAAAGCTTGTGCGATCGAGACAAATATTGAAAATCAATTCAAAAATTATTGATAAATGTGAGACATACACAAAAATAATAACCCAAGTTAATAATACAGAGCGGAAAGGGATTGTTGGTAATGGAGACTGAGAAACCCATTGCTAGCAATATACCCAACCATGTCGACCTCGTCGCGGTTCTCCCTGGAAACTATCATGGTTAATTCCTGATGAATTCATCATGATGGGCTAACTGGCCTGTTTTCATTCTCATCTATCACTCTTCACTGGTGCTCCGCTAGCATATCCCGTTAACGCAGGCGGGGTTACCATACCATTTTCACCCATCAAAAAAAAAGTTAATAATACAATCATGTTTGAAGTCAAGTGGAAATATTACTTACAAGTCATCTTCATGCAAGTATATGCAGTGAGCTGCGGTGAGAACGTGTTTGGAGGTGACCAGGGTGCCTCCGCACAGCCACCGCGCACCGGGGCCGCGCTTGGGCTTGTAGCCCAGAAGCGCCATCCATGGGAAGTCACCTGTGGGAAGGCATATTCACTATAGTCTATTCCAATAAACAAAACTTAATGAAAATGTCAGTAAGTCTTTTTTTTTTAATTGCCACAGAAATACTCTTTAATGAAATTAGTTTAAATAATCGACATAATGATTGAACATCAGTAGACTGTTCATGATTTAATCATTTGTATCCATCGTCATTAAATTCAACTAAAATAGAATATATACCCCTCCCTTTCTCGTGGGTGTCGTCAGAGGCAACTAAGGGAACTCAATGATCGAGAGATAGACAGTAGCGTCCCTCTTAAAACATTACCGAAGCCTAACTGCGGTTGCCAACCCGTCTGCCAAACGTGGCAAGTACTGGCAAAACTCTTCCTATGGGGGAGGCCTGTGTTCAGCAGTGGACAGTTAGACTGATGTGGTATATCCTGAACAACGCTATGAACATTACAGGTGCTCATAGTAATTCCCATGATACTTCCCATGCGTTGTCATCTCTTGTTAGTATAATTAGAAAAAAATATATTTTCAAATCTTTACTAATATTATAAATATGGTAGTTAGTTTATTTGTTTGCTACCTCTTAGCGCCTTAACGGCTTAACCAATTACTATGGTTTTGGGGGGAAGGGATTGTTAGTAATGAGGACTATCAGTTCCATAGCTAGCAGCATGCCCTGACAGTCGACGTCCACGTGTCCTCCCCCCTGGAAACCATCGTGCTGAATTCCAGGTGTATTCATCACGATAGACTAATTGATTTGTCGTTTCATCCTTACCTATCAACCCTCACTGATGCCCCGCCAGCGTATACCGTTAGCACAGGCGGGCTTATCATTACATTATCATCCATTAAAAAAAAACAATTACTGTGAAATTTATAACACATAGTGTATGGGATGGAAAGAAATATAGGCTACGTTCTGTCTCGGTCAAAAAACATATTCCAACTACGCGGGCGAAGTCGCGAATAAAAACTAGTCTGATATAAACACACACAACCACTCTTTGGAATCAACTTCCAGCAGCAGTATTTCCGAACCGATACGACAACATAACCTTCAAGAAACCTTTCTTTTTAAAAGACCGGCAGCACACCTGCAATGCCGTAGGTGTTGTGGGTTACCATGGGCGGCGGTAGTCACTTACCATCAGGTGAGCCGCATGCTCGTTTGCCCCCTGTGTTGTAAAAAAAAAATATAAAGTAAATTATTACTTACCGAGATGAGCGTCAACCCCCCCAATCACCCTACTGAACGATGCATTGCTGACTCCGCACACAGGCGGTTGGGGTAAAGATGCAACAAAGTCATCAGAGAACGATTTGCCTTCAGATTCTTTTTCTGGCTCCTCCGTGATGGTGGGTGCTTTGGTGACGGGTTGTGTTGGTGGCGGTGGTGGGGGTACCGACGGTGGTGGCCCGGTAGGGATGCCTGGTCGTGGACAGCAGACCTGAATAGTAACGGTTTCATTTTTGGTGCCTTATATAATTTCTTTATTACTTGATCGATAAACATAGATACAGTTTAATAAAACTAAGTCAGATTTACGTTCAACTACATGTAATCACCAGAGGGAGACTTTGTAAAGTCCGACCTGTATATCGACCTCACATTGCTAGCAAAGTGTACTAGTAATTCATTACGCACAAACGCTTCCATTTACACATAAGCTATATAAAATAGAAATTTTAGTCATACAAAACAAAGAAATGAAATGGAATGAGATTTATTCGTAAAAAAACATAACTGTAGTTACATACATACATACATATCTGTCACGCCTGTCCCCCATTAGGGTAGGCAGAAACAATGGAACGCCAAATGCTTCGATTCAAGCAAATCTCTTTCGCTTCTTCCACATTCATCAATCTTTACATACACGTTCGCTGGTTACGGGTACTTTTAATTTGGCCCTTCTTTAGCACGTCGCCTATTTGGTCAACATACGTCCGTTTAGGGCGGCCCCTACCGACATCTCCATTCATTCTTTTCGTGATTCTTCTTTCATCCATCCGTCCAAACTGTAGTTTCTTAACTAATACTAATATTATAGTTTTATAAGGGTACAGTAATTATGGTTTTAACTGGGCTATTATGGCTGGTTTGAAACTGGGCTTCTAAATAGGTTAATATAATAACCTGTGTTAAGGGGCCACAGCCCAAATCCCCTTTCATAAAAAGTATAATTAAATCATATAGTGCGGTGTGAGACCTAAACTTTCTGATTCTGATGATGGGACATATTTGTATTATTAATCCGTTTCCAGGTAGACTATTTAACATTTACCTTAGGGTTGTTCCCGTCAAATCCGCAGTGCACTTTCCTCAACAGCTGCACAGCCGCCGGGCTGGAGCCGGCCTCCTGAACAACCTTCAAATACTTCTCACATTGGAACAGGCTTACACAACTACCGACCTGATCATCTATAGTAGAACACGTTTCCTCTGTAAAAAGAAATTTCAATTAAACCGATTTACAAACTGAGCTGCTTTTTTAACCAACTTCAAAACGATGGATTTTCTCAATTCGGCTGTTTTTTTATGTTTTTCAATAAATAATATTACTACGTCAAGTATAAGTCAAGTACCAGAGGGAGACTTTGTACAAAAGTCGATTGCTTGGCTACCGCTGTCCTATTCGTGTTTCTACCGTGAAGCAGTTGTGTTTGCATGGCTGTGTTTCGGTTTGAAGGGTGGGATATGGCAGTGATTTTACAGGCTACAGAGGAATAACGCCTGAGTTCTCGGGAATGGCAACGCATGGGAGGTATCATGGGCGAAACAGTATACTCTGTTATGTTCATGGTACTGCTCATGTCTATAGGCGACAGTTACCACTTTCCATTAGGTGGGCCGTGAGCTTGTTTACCATTCTAAGTTGCATAAAAAAAGTATTAGCCGATTTAGAAAATCCTTATATATTTTTACAAAAATTAGTTTAATACTTTAGTTTTGAAATCAAAAAACTTATCTTGCTACAATTGAAGTCGATTTTTCTTAACACAAACTTAAATTATATGCAATTCGGAATGGCAAATAAGCTGATACTCCACCTGATATAAGGTGATAACCGTCACCTGCAGACATGAACACATTTAAGTAATTTCCACGCCAAATCTTACCCTTCAAATTGAAATGCACAATAATAAAAAACCGCTTGAATAGTTACAAAATTTACACGGTCACAAATGAGTAAACTCTATAGAGTGCAAAAAGAAATATTAAAATCGGTACAGAAAGTAAAAATGTTGAATACAGATTTGACATATACGCACAGGTGAATTGAGAATCTCCTCCCTATGGTCGTTAAATAATTAATTTACTGTGCTGTTTTTTTATTCTTTCTAGATTTTATTTACAAAAAAATTATTGGTACAAAAGGCGGATTTAATACTATATATCAGGGTTTCCTAAAGTGGGGTTCCACGGATCTCTTAGGGGTCCGTAGCATGTGTCAGTTAGTAAGTCAGTTAAGTTCTCGTTAAATTAGTTGTAAGCGTAATGAAATTAACAATAAAAGTTTTTTTTTTTTAATAAAAATGCCTTTTCTCTTTTCCTTTTAGGACCTAACTAAATTGTTTTTCGAAAAGGCATTTAATCATAACAGGGGTCCGTGGAATTGTTTAAATTGTGAACGTGGTCCGTGTTAAGGTAAGGTAAGTGTTAAAAAGTTTAAGAAACCCTGCTATACTTGTATAGCATTCTACAATAAACATTTGGAAAAAACAGAAATATAAAACGAACTATAATAAAAAGTATTGAAAATAAGTGTTGGTATATAGAACTACTTGTTACAGAAATAGATGAGACAGTGTGAAGCACTTTTTGAATGAGTATTCCATAACCAGGGCATGCATGATGTGAGTTATAGAAATGGTTGATGAAAGAGATACCTTTAAAGTGCATTGTCCATACTACGATGTTCTTATTTAACGGAGAATATTACACATATATATATATATATATATATATATATATATATATATATATATATATATATATATATATATATATATATATATATATACAATCACAATACATAACAATCAAAAGTAAAAGAAAAGAGAGTTTCTTGTAATGTTGCATTCAAGAATATCAGAGGGAGACTTTGTACAAAAGTCGTTTGTTTAGACACCTCTGTCCCATTCGTGTTTCTACCGTGAAGCAGTTGTGTTTGCATGGCTGTGTTTCAGTTTGAAGGGTAGGATATGACTGTGAATTTACAGGGTACAGAGGAATAACACCTGAGTCCTCAGGAATGGTAACGCGACGAGAGTATCATAGGCGAAACAGTATACTCTGTTATGTCCATGGTACTGCTCATATCTATAGGCGACGGTTACCACTTTCCATCAGGTGGGCCGTCAGCTTGTTATTCTAAGTTGCAAAAAAAAGTTAACCTGAGACCACGCTATCCAGCGTCAATACAATAATAAATTGACTCGTATACCATTGAACTTCATTTATTTATTTAATTTATTTATTTATTATTACCTGCAGTTTACAAATGATCACACTCCTACACACTACAGTTAATTGTAATTTATAAGTACATGTCAAGTTATTTACAATAATTAATAGTATTAATTAACTATAAAAGATTACGATTATATTTATTTCATATCAAATTCTATTGTATTTTTAACGACAATTTAAAAATTCCACGTGGAAAGTGATAAATTAGACAAGGACGGTATGAATTATGCATGGTAAGCTATTACAATAAAATATTCTCCTAATTAGAAATCTTCCACTAATAATGTAAAATTTAAGTGTAAATTTACCATGTGGTTCCTGCATAGAATGGACCACCCCATCATTTCCCGTGGGTGTCATAAGTGGTGACTAAGGGAACTCAATAGTCAACACATGGACAGTAGCGTCCTTCTTAAACATCTCCATAGTCTGACTGCAGTTGCCAATCCGCTTGCCAAGCTTGGCAACTACTGGCAAAACACCCCAAGAGGCCTATGTTCAGCAGTGGACAGTTAACGGCTGATGTGATGAATAGTGTAAATGTGGGAATCTGTAAAGATGTTTGAATGTTTGTTACTCAATCACGCCTAAACGTTTGGATAGCTATGAATGCAATTTGGTTCGCGGAAAGACAGGACTGTAGTTAGACCCATGTTTAAGGTAGGGCAAAAAAATTTGTTGGTAGAGCAGAAACCATAATTAAATGACTTCGAAAAAGCGAATCTACTTAATTTTGTTGGAGCCTTTCATTTTAAGAATTTCATTAAGGGCATTGGGCATTTAAAGGTAGAGTAATGCCCCTCAATGCAACATTGCTTTTTACGAGTATGATCCGACTATTTGATATGGAAATTATGTTTTGCTTCCTACGGCCATTTAACGGGGTCAATTTTTATAGGATTAAAGCCTTATATAAAATTGGAGCAAAATTTTATTTGCACATTTGCAAAAATTTATTTAAATCTGTTGAGCCATTACGAGATTAGCGTGAATGAACGTGAATCGGAATTTTCATATATATATATATATAATCTCGATTTTTCGAATCAAATAAAACTAGGGGTATTCCGTATAATCCCAAATACGGATAATCAAACATCAAATAAAACAATAGTTAAATTTTAATATATTTTTTTTATTTTGTAAAGGGTTTTACATACGTCATTTAGACAATACGATATAAAAAAATTACGAGGTATAAAGATAACGGATTCCATAATACCTATGTAATGGACGGAAAGGGATTGTTAGCAATGGGGTTTGACAGCCCCATTGCTAGCAATATGCCCTATTAGGTCGACCTCCACGTGGTTCCCCCTGGAAACCATCGTGAACAATTCTTGTTGAATTCGTCACGATGGGCTAACTGACCTGCTTCATCCTCACCTATCATCCTTCACTGGTGCCCCGCCGGTGTATACCGATAACACGGATGGGTTTACCATTCCATTATCAACCATTAAAAAAAACCTACGTAATTTAAAATTTTGCTTGGAAATAATTAATTACTAATCTTTGACGTAATGAATCACGTCTTTTCATTGTGGCCAAGTCCCTGATGTACTTTACTAGTAACAATTATATGGGATTCGATTCGACTTGTATTGTCCGGATAATCGAATATTCGGATAACTGATGTTTGGTTAATCAAGATTCTACTGTATGTCTAAAAGGTGAATATTACTAAAACAAATGTTGTCTCAAGCAGTTATTTGCAAATATGGCACCCAAATTTCATAATGTCCTTCTACATAAAAAGTCATGGCAGTGAATTCGATTCAGTCTGATGACAAAATCTTGTGTCAATATTGATAAGTAAATAGAAGTGGATAGCCAATAAAGTTGAGCGATATTAGACCTTAACTAGATAAATTTAAGATAACACTAGTGATCTATAGGTTGACTCGTGGGCAGATTTTTTATTTGAAGTGGCAAGATGGGTCGTCAGCTTGACCCAGCTGACGGAAAACAGATATGAATTCATGTAATTCACTTGTTCTAATGCCCATTGTATCTCTCATGGGTTGCCATTCCTGAGGCCTAAAATGTTACGTTCTCGAGTTCTATAATTTCACATTCATATTTAGAAATGATAGAATTTTTATCGTGCCTCCGATCAAACTGTTTATAATTACTCCCCTCCATCCAAAAGTTGGCTGGAAGAGATCGCTTTTAGCGATAAGGTCGCCCATTGTTTTCTCACTGTGATTATTTCTTGTAATTGTTTATATTTACAATAAGTTTACTATTGTAATCTTTCTATTGACCTCATTTTGCAGGTATTGCGATGCACGCACACACACTCATTTTCATGAAACTGTTTCAATACGAATTGTTTTTTTTTTTATTTTATATTCTTTATTTGTGTATATATATTTTTGTGTGTAGTTTCGTTACTATAATTCTTAATATTTTTTTTGACCAATGTGTGGGTGTAGTAATATATTTCTCTTAAAAAAAGTTTTTTCTTTCTTTATTTTGGAGGGAACAATAAAGAGTATCTATCTATTCACATCTCACCCTTCCCACTAAAATGATAATGCAAACACAACTTATTTTCCATGGGGAGGACTAGCCCCCTTGAAGCTTTGCTCGCATCCTGTAATGGACATCACACGATTCTGGGACCTGCACGACCCTAAGCTCCCCACTCCTCTCTAAATATGCCTATAAACATGGGTAGGAAAAGGTAATTAAACAGGTGACTTTAAAACAAAGTCCTTCTCTAGTATAAGATAAAGTTCAATTTATATACTAACTAAATTTTTATGACGGCCTTTCAAAATATTTTCTTGTATATATTATGTTTTATATTTATATTATATATGTATATTTTTAATAAATCTATTCTGTTATATACTTAATTGCTCAAGAAGATCATTGGGCTCAGTAACGTACCTTGAGTGAGACGAACGCCTAAATTATTTAAATTCATTTTAAATAAATTAAAATTCTATATCAATAGTTAT